TATATATATATATATATATATATATATATATATATATATATATATATATATATTAAAAAAAAGAAGTTTTAATATAAACTAATATCATCCTCACAATAAACCTGTGAGATTGGTGAAATTATTTTCACTTTAAAGGTGATAAAGTTGAAGCTAGTAATCAGTGGAGTAGGATTTCAGTTGATCTAACTTTAAGCCTGAACTCTAACCTGCCATCCGCTAATACATTTCTCCTTTTATTGGTGGATGTTGCTGATGGAGCAGAGATGCGATGTGTTTATTTTGGGCACCACTGAGGAAATTACGGGTTTGGGTCATGGCTTGATATCTGGAGTCCTTGGGGTAATGGTAGCAATGGCCTGGCCCAGGTGATTCATGCAGATTCCTGTATTAATGTCTGTTTTTGTTTGTTTGTTACAGGTTCCCAGAATGTTAGTTTCTCAGTATTTAACAAAGGAAAGTAAGTAAATGGGAGGAACCAAATTTATCTTCATCTTGTATTATCTCTCTCTTGTCTTGCTTCCTTTCTTTAACCTTGTATAAAAAACTTTCAAACATACATGAACAGAATAGAATGATAAAACCATATGTACCCACTTGATCCCTTTTATTTGGGTAGATAAAATTGATTCCTATGCACTCATCTTGAAATAATGTAAATATTTTAATGTGATGATGGTCAGAATTTTGGGAATTACCTCATGAGTAATCTCATAGCACTGCAAATTTAAGATAGAACACAAAATTTTAAATACATTGTGCCATTCAGGAATTTCATGATGGGAAGGGTACAAATTTCATAGAGGTATGGAGAGATAAATTAAAATTTTAAATTTCTTTCTGTATGACTTATCTCATGTTCTGTTACTATATAATTTGGCAGGTATTTTCCTTAAAAACACATTGTCTAAATAATGTTGATTTCATTGTGATGATGGTGACATGTTACTCTCAGCTACACAGTCCAAAGTATGGGTATTCTCTGTCTCTCTCTGTCTCTGTCTCTCTCTCTCTCTAAGTTAGGAAGGAATAAAACTAATATTCATTGAGTATCTCCTGTAGGCCAGCTCCATATCAAGCCCTTTCACATTCATCATTTCATTTCATGCTCTCGATACTCTGTGAAATTGGTATTCTTCTCATACAGTCACTTTCTAGATCAGAATACTTTGCCCCGTTGGTATATTCTCTAGTCATCAAAAGGAGCTGATATTTAAACTGTTCTAAAGATTATTGGAGGTTAGTTCACAATCTTCCTTTTAGGGAGCCAATAAAAAACAAGCCATTTCAGATGCTATATTCATCTAAAACACAATTTTGTCTTTTTTAAAGGTCAATGGTCCATAAGAATGCATGGCTGATCAGTGCTAAACAGGACCTTTTCCTGTACCAGACATACTCAGGTACTAGTCCCTTCATCCTATACTCCTCACTCCTTCCCTCACACCTCACTGAACCGTGGGCCCTCCTTCCAAAGTTCTTAGTGCTAGAAAGTGCAGGTCTAATTCTAAATCTTATGCGTGTAATTAATATACTATGGGAAGTATACTCTCCTTGCCACCCACCCCAAGATCTTTGTGAGTCTGCCCATCAATATTGAACCTTGACTATCAGGTAGGCTGGCAGGTATCTCTGATCACACAACTATTTCATATTTCCAGCACCAATATCTTCTTGGGATGTGGACTCTCAGGCCAGAACTTCCTCATAGCAGAGCAGGCTGTTATGCAAAGAGCCCAAGGCTGAACTCCTCTAGCGCTGGCATTAAATTACTGCTTGAGTTTGGTTAAGTCATTTAGCCTTTCTGAATCCCAAACAAACATCTATAAAGTGGACAGGATGGAGTTTGTCCTTCTAACTCCATAGATTGTTGATGAAGCAGATGAGTTTGGGATCCTCTCCCCTCATCTCCATATCAATTCAATCATCAATTTCTACCAATTTTATCTGCCATATATTTTTTAAATATGACGTATCCACTCTGTCTCTACAACCATTGCCTTAATTCAGGATTCCATCATTTCTTGCCTGGCATGCTGCAATAGTTCCTAAGGGGCCCTGACCTGCCATTTGTCCCTGCTGATCCATGCTCTACATAGCCACCACCTTTCCCACATCTGATGCCTCTCTCCTGCTTACCATCCACCTCCAAAGGCTTCTCATACTCTGCAGGGGATGGTACAAGGTCTGACCTCTTCCTTGTCTGCTTCTCCATCTCTCTCTCTCTCCCTCTCTCTCATTACAGCACTGTGCACCCCTTCACTTGTCAGTTCTAATTCATCCTTTAACATTCACTTTCTACTCAACCATACCCTCTCCCCTCACGTAAATCTCTCCTGGGCACTTTCCTATTCTCCCTCTAATTTCACTAGCCTAAGTATAATAATTATACTTTTGTGTACCTGCCCTTCCTTATTCTTTTGAGCTCCTCGAGGATGGGGAATATTTTGTATTCATCTTTATATTCCTTGTGCTGCATCATCTGTGCTCTGTGAATGTTGAAAAGAATTATAAAATAGTAGATGAAAAGAAGGAGGTTATTAGTGTTGAATTTTGATACTTGAGTGTGGAGATCCATCTTTGCCCCCATATATCTCCTCTGCTTTGTCTCATGGACCAAAGTGTTATCTAGGAGATGCCCTGATAAAATTCATATTTGGAAGTGGTACTTTCAATTTATCATAGATCATGGCTCCTCTTTCCCCTTGAGGGAATAAAATTTAAAACTGTCCAAGTTTGATCATAGAAGAAGAAAGGATCAGGGAAAGTGAAACTCCTAGGGATATGTGACATCTTCCTGTAGGGTTTTGAAGCAATCAGGAGGCAGCATGAAAATGGGTGTGAGGTGGTAAGTGCAGGTGGGGGGGGGGATGGGTTCGGGACATGCAGTAAGGGGAGGAATGCAAGGATACTGAAGACAGTGTGATCCGTTCCTTTGCTTAGAGCAAATTCAGACTCATGGATAAACTGAGGCCTTGCATGGTGCATCCAAAGGTGATTCCTCCATAAAGTATAACCTCCTGCTTTGTGACTTGAGGCTGGGAGACAGATTTCCTAAGAAAGCATCATGGTATGTAGGTATTTTAGCTCAGAGCCTGAGTGACTGCATTTCCCTTTCCTTTCAAATATTGCTCCTGTATAATATATGTCATCATACATATTATTATGTGTGAGTCCTTTTTATTAACTGCATTTTAAAATGACTATTACTAGAAAAAATTTCAACTGTTTCTTAGTCTTAGAAAGTTATAGTAGGATATAAATTATTGATAGTTTCTGTTATATTATTATCTGGGTCACATCCTGGTCTATATTTGGAAGCTTACCTTTTTTTTTCCTCTTGCAGAAATACTGTCTGTGTTTCCAGAAACTGGGAGCCTTGGGGGAAAAACAGACATCACAATTACAGGGGACTTCTTTGACATCCCTGCCCAGGTTACCATTGCAGGTAACTAAGTTGAAATGGCTGAAAATAGTTCACAGTTTTAAATGCTGTAGGAGATTGTGTGTCTCTTAGGGCATGGAGAGGGTATGGGGGAAGCAATCTTTTTCTCTTCTGACTCATCGTGCCACCCCGCTCTCATATTATACCTGTGTTTGGTTGAGATCATGGTCCTGCAGCTCTGCTACACGTAACAGGAATAGGATGTCCTCAGACACACTCACAATTCATGGGCAATTCCCTCGGGTGTCCCCATCTTGGGAGTGAAGGGAGAGAAAACGTATAGCAGCCTCTTCACAAAGGTCTGCACCTACTCATAGGCAACCCCTCCCCTTCTCCCCACTTAGCCCTCTCTGTGTGGACAGGCTGGAGTGGGCAGGAAATTGCTCTGTAGATTGTTCTGGAATGCCCTATGGCAGCAGTTCTCAACCTGTGGGTCGCGACCCCTTTGGGCGTCGAACGACCCTTTCACAGGGGTTCGCCTAAGACCATCAGAAAACACATATATAATTACATATTGTTTTTGTGATTAATCACTATGCTTTAACTATGTTCAATTTGTAACAATGAAATTGGGGGTCACCACAGCATGAGGAACTGTATTAAAGGGTCGCGGCATTAGGAAGGTTCAGAACCACTGCCCTATGGCAAACCCGTTTGTGGAACCTATCTAGAACCTTTAGTTATGCCAGGTGGATGCACCTCTAGGTGGTGACACCAAGATGCAGGAAAATGCCCTTACACTCTCACGTCACACATACCTCCCCAAGCTCAGCTGAGGGGTCAGTACACCCTCAGTGGATGGCACTGTGTTGCTTTCTTTCGGATTTTTATAAGCTGCCCTATGCTCTATTTTTTTAAAATATATTTTATTGATTTTTTTACAGAGAGGAAGGGAGAGAGATAGAGAGTTAGAAACATCGATGAGAGAGAAACATCGATCAGCTGCCTCCTGCACACCTCCTACTGGGGATGTGCCCGAAACCCAGGTACATGCCCTTGACCGGAATCGAACCTGGGACCTTTCAGTCCACAGGCCGACGCTCTATCCACTGAGCCAAACCGGTTTCGGCTTCTTTCGGATTTTATAAGCTGCCCTATGCTCTACGCCCTGTACTCTCCCTTTCCCGGCCTCCTTCAGTGAGGGTGACAAGTTTTGCTATACTATTTACATTCAGCCCTGTGCCTTAGAATAGGAGCCTGGCTACTTCAGTGTGGTCCTGTGGTCTAGCCATCAAATTCTATGTATATGTCTCTATTTCTCTATATATCCATGTCTATACCTATACCTATATCTAATTTTAAAAATTCTCCTCAGGCATTCCATGTGATGTGAGACACGTGTCTCCCAGGAGGATTGCGTGCACCACTAGGGCCCCTGGAGAAGGTGCAAGGCTCACTGCTCCTCAGGCAGGTAAGGAGGCCACCAGGGCTGGTTCATGACCTTCGGTTACATTTTAGCCAGGATGGGCTTGGCAGTAGGAATGAAAGTGTTGGTGTTCTGTCTCAGCTTTTGACTGGTTAGCTCAGTGAGCTCTGGGTCCATGATACCACCGTCAGGGCTTTCCTCTCAGAGTGGCTCTTAGCTTTATTCAGATGCTCATCAACACTGCACTCCTGGCCCCAGCCAGATGGACGGCCAATGGGGTTCAGTGGAGACCACGATCCCGGAAGCATAACTGCAATCAAATCATTGTTATCCGGGAGCATTAGAGCACACTCATAACAGCGGCATCAGAAAAGGCCAGAGAGTGGGGCACAGTGGGGTGCACTTAAATGGTGTTTCTTCTCTGAGGCACCTGCCTGCGACTGAAAAGTAGGGCTGTGCTGTGCCATTGCCACCAGTTTATGGTTGAAGTGGGCAGAAATGGAGAAGGCGAGGTCCCACCTGTCCTTCTCTGTTTAAAGTTTCCACCTCATGGCTACAAATGGAAAGCACACAACTGGGGCACTTTTCTGGGAAGCATTAGGACTGGAGGCTCAAGTATAGCTAGGGATGGGGGCAGCTGGCGTCTTATGCAGCCCGGAATGGCACGCTGCCGCCTGTATTGCTCACCTGCCCCGCATGGGCTGACTTCCTGGTTAAACTCCCAGCAGTGGATCACTTCCAGGATCTCAGCACTTAGAAGGTGGAAGGTGGAGAAACCTTTCTAAAGAAAGGCCATTTGGGTGTGAAAATGCATTCAAAGCTTTGGCTGGGGCCTTCTCCAGGTCCCAGATCTGCAGTTTGTACTCAGGGAAAGCTCCCATCCAAGGAAACCACCGAATCAGGTGCTGGAGAGAATGTGTCCTTTGTCAGGAAATGGAGAACTGTCCCCTCTTTGAGGGGTTCCTGCCTTAGCTACTTGGGTAATGGTAGGATAATTTCCTGAATGCAGCTGTTCTTGAGGATCAACAGTGCCCTTTATGAAGATGGTTGGAAGTTTCTTCTGTGGAAGTAGAGCAGACTATTATGTAATGCAGCGGTTCTCAATGGTCTGCAGGGGACATTTGGTAATGCCTGGCAGTTACAACTGGGAAGGTGGTGTGGTGCTACTGGCCTCTAGTGGCTGGAGTCCAGAGGTGCCACTAAACATCCTTCAATGCACAGGACTGCCTACACCCAGTTATCCAGCCCAAAGTGCTGAGGTTGAGAAACCTCAAGGAATATATCAAAATATGCTCTTATTTTTCTACTTATTCCTTATCATTTCCCCTTTTAAGGATTAATGAGGAGTAATAGTAGTAGTTTAAAATAATAATTACTGTCACTGTCCTTTATTGAGTACTTAGTATATTTTAGACTCTTTGTGTATATAGTTCAAGCACTCTTAGTCTTTTTTTTTTTGGCCAGAATTGTCATTTTACCCAGTTTCCCCCCAAGCTTTATTAAGATATAATTGACATATAACTCAAGCTTCATTAGTATTTTCTGCATTATCTCTATTTATTATTGGCCCCATCCATGAGAAAATGAAGGCATCAAGCAGTTTGCTCAAAGCTGCACATTTAATAGGCGGCAGAGCTGGCATCTGAACCCACAAATATGTGATTCCCAAGCCTTTACCCTCAATCCAAGTTTGTATCCAATATTGCTTACACATGGGCCTTTGGTCTTAGGGTTTGCTTAAAATAAAATACAAATTAGTGAGTACAACATCATTGAAAATGTCTCTTAATAGCTGCATGTCACATGATTTGTTCTATGTGCAGATTCACAAAGTGAGGCCATGACATGAGAAAAATGTAAGGGTTGCCAATTTTCTGAGGAATAAAAGGATCTCAGGGAATACAACTCCCAAGCTGGATTGGACATTAAAAGATACTGAGTCCACTCCTCAACAGTCAAGTCCCAAGTACATGATCACATCTTCCCCTTTACTCCACCACAGTTTGCTTGTTTACATTTTCTCTAGGACTCAGGCCTGTTCTCCAGACACTCTCATTAAAAAAGACTCCCTACTCTTCTCTGGTCCTCTAAAAGTATTTCCCCTTACCATTCCTCATCCACCCTCTCTCCAAGAGGCGAAATCCCACCCCAAGCAGTATTTACTGCTTTGCAGAACATTAGTATTACCTATAGGACCTCTTCCATGCCCTTTCTACCTGGGTCTCAGTTGACTCACCTTTCTAGTTAGTACCTGGATCATCTTTACTCTGTTGTATGCAGTAAAGTAGTTCCTCAGGTTGGGTGTTTATGAAGTATACCTGTCTTCCAGGCAACCGGGGGCTTCTTTTTGAGGTTGGAGATGCTGCTGAGGGCTTGGACCTGACTGAAGCCACCCCTGGGTACCGGCGGCAGATTGTCCCTAACGCCAGTTCTCCATTTGGATTTTGGTCAAAGGAAGGGCAACCTTTCAGGTATGTTGTGGGAAAAGTGAGAGTCCGTGTCGAAAGCATCTTTAGGAGACAGATAAGTAAACTATGAGGTTTCCAGGATAAAATTTATAATGTCCACCAATTTCACAACAGAGTTTGATCATTGTTATTTACTGGTGTTGTTCATACTAATGTACCGCAGATCTTTTATAGGTACATGCTAAATTTAAAGAAATATATTTTTATTGATTTCAGAGAGGAAGGGAGAGGGAGAGAGAGATAGAAACATCAGTGATGAGAGAGAATCATTGATCAACTGCCTCCTGCACGCCCCACACCAGGGATTGAGCCCACAACCTGGGCATGTACCCTGACTGGGAATCGAATCATAACCTCCTGGTTCATAGGTTGACGCTCAACCACTGAGCCACACAGGCTGGGCAGGTGCATGCTAAATGTTGAACAATAGATAAATTTCATACTTGATACAACTTAGTTTGGAGATGACTATTAATTGGCATATTGAGTTGAGTAGGCTAAGAGACTTAAGCGAGAGCAGGGTAAAATTTGCTGCGAGTACGTGGTTAAGACATGAAACTCACATTCGGATGATGCCAAAAAAAGATGCCAGCATTTGCCCATTGGTCATATGAGGGAGCAAAGGCTGGAGCCTTAGGAGACATTGTTTTCAGTAGTAGTGACTGCAATGTGATTGTGGCTTTGAATCTTTTTAACCCCTGCAAGGATATTGCCAAAATTTCTGGTTCTCCAAAGTGGGCTTAAAAGTATAAAAAATGAGAATTTCTTAGACATGCTGTTTCCTTATTGTACTCCCAATGTATATATAGAAGCATAGATCCTTACTGTGTTATCCTTTACTCTTTTGAGAGAGGTTGGTCATGACCCTGAGTGTGAATTGGAGCCATTCTGTGAGCTCCTCCAAGGATTTGGCCATATTCATTGTTAATTCAGTTGTGGAATGAAAAGCTTTTTCCCCTGTTCAGGGAATTTCAGACATTGAAGAAGCCAAGTAGGAGGGAAATCTGTGAACAGAATAGAGTTTCTGTTGTCCTGGAAGTCTTACTAACTAGGTATTTAACCACCAATATATGGTTTTAAAGTAGCAATAATTTGTGGTCCTTTATGGCACCTAATTCATCTTTGTTATCCTTTTTGAGGCCCATCAATGATGTTCAAAGGAAACCTTTTAACTATAGTTAGTGTGTGGAGTAGTAAGGAGAGAGTCAAACCACCTCAAAAGATGACCTATAGCCGAAACCGGTTTGGCTCAGTGGATAGAGCGTCGGCCTGCGGACTGAAGGGTCCCAGGTTCGATTCCGGTCAAGGGCATGTACCTGGGTTGCGGGCACATCCCCAGTAGGAGATGTGCAAGAGGCAGCTGATCGATGTTTCTCTCTCATCGATGTTTCTAACTCTCTATCTCTCTCCCTTCCTCTCTGTAAAAAATCAATAAAATATATTTAAAAAAAAAAAAAAAAGAAAGATGACCTATAGGGTATGTCTCTTTAACTGCTATTTTGAGGAACCATAAACCAGAGAGTACCTCTTCTTCTATGTCATTAATTTCTTTAAAATTCAAAAATGTTAAGAATTGGAATATTTATTAATTGATAAATTAATTATATTGATGGACCTTTAAAATAGTTATTTTCAAAACTATTTCAGAATATACTTTAAAAAATATATTTTTTTTATTGACTTCAGAGAGGAAGGGAGAGGGAGAGAGAAACATCAATGATGAGAGAGAATCATTGATCTTCTGCCTCCTGCATGCCCCATAGCAGGGATCAAGCCTGCAACCTGGGCAAATGCCCTGACCGAGAATCGAACTGTGACCTCCTGGTTCATAGGTTGACGCTCAACTACTGAGCCATGCTACCTGGGCTCAGAAAATATTCTTGATATTTATTGGGGTAGTGTAATAATTTTCTTATCCATATCTGTTTCTAATACTAGGTCTCTAGAACTTATATTAAACATTGTAACATTGCTTGCAATCTGATGTATTCTAATTTGAGATCGCTAACATGTTCAATTGACTTCTCTGTGGACAGTAGCCTTTTTAATTGGGAAAAAAAGACTCTTTGCAGGTATTGGGGTATCTGGTAAGCTCAGAGCAAATACTTTTGGTTTTGTGTGTGAAATATTACCTAATTAGTAAACCCCCAAACAATTGAAAACAATTTACTGACCACCTAGATTCAGTACTGTGAGTGTTAGAAGGTCTAGAACAAGGTCATCGTCCTTGTGGAGTGACCACCCTTGTCATGCACATGTACAGCCAAAGAGCAAGGCAAGACAGCATGCACTGAAATTCCTCAGTGTACCCACGTGTGTGTCCTGATCTTCTCATTCAGTTCACTTGATACATATTGAGTTATTGCCATGTCCCAGGCCTTCTAGGATCAATGACTTCATGAGACACAACACTAAGGAAGTATTTGAACTAGTTTGCAGATGAGGAACTGTGGTCTCCAGTAGGTAAAGCGGTTTTTCTAATATTGCACAATTATCAAGTGGCAGAACCAAGTTCTGAATTTTTCTGACTTCAAGGCCTATAATTTCTCCCTAAATTCACCTAAGCCACATTAGGGCACATGTCCCTCTTTCCCCATGGGAATATGGTTTTTAAAAGGACACACCTACATGTCAAACCCTACATAAACAAACACCTGTTTCTAGGAAGTTAATGTCTGCACGAGGGAGAGGAAATGGAGTGAAGTCCCTCTTGATATCTATCATTTTGGGCCATTTCAGGTCTATCACTTTACTCATAAAGAAATGCACAGTGTTGTCTAGAAGTCAAGATTATTTGGGAGGAAACATTCTAGCTAATGTATGATTATCCCCATACACGGACAGCTGCACAGACTGAATGTAAGGTGGCTAATGTGTGACTTCAGCCAGAGGGGTGATCTAATATAGCTTGTGACATATGAATGTGCTAGAGATGGAGACAAGGAACAAGGGTTCCAGGTCAAGTCAGAGCAATTCCTGATCAGTGATCTCCCCTTCTTTCTAATAATAAGAATAATGTTTACTATTGATTGAGCTCCTACCAGGGACCAGACCCTGCACTGCTGCGTGAGGTAGGTTCTCAGCGAAGCCTCCCGACAGCCTGATGCTAGGAGTTCCACTTTCCCAAAGAGGACGTGACTGCAGGGGAGCTCTAGCTGGTGTGAAAGGATGGGTTGAGATATTGAGACTAGTTGGGCGCCACAGCTGTTTCCAGAGTACGGTGGCCAATCCCGTGCCACAAAAGTCAAGGGTTTCTTCCTCATTTCCATAAAGAAGAACAAAGTACAGGCGGAACCACTCGCTGGGTCAGTGATTCGGGCCTTGGTTGCTTTCGCTTGACCCTGTGTTCCTCTGCGTTACAGAGCACGGCTCAGTGGGTTCTTTGTGGCCCCAGAAACAAATAATTACACTTTCTGGATCCAGGCAGACAGCCAAGCTTCCCTGCATTTCAGTCGGTCAGAGGATCCCAGGACCAAGGTATTTGCCTTCTTCTCATTTTCCTTTTCCTGTCCCCAGTCCTTCACTCATAAAAAAAAATATATAAAAAATCTAAAACGAAAACTCTCACGTTCTACAAATAGTTGTAACGCACCATTAGGCAAATATAGAGTCTTTTTGATGGGGGGAGGGGTTCATTAGAAACGTTTTTAATTGAGATATAATTGACATGCTTTTAATTGTTGAAAACAAATTTGGTTGAGTGTGTTGGCACCTACTGTTTACTGAGCACTTCCTGTAGGCGGGGCATTATGCTACATTTTTTATATACCTTGTCTCTAATTTTCACAGCATTTCTGTGAGCTATGTCTATTTATTTCTATTTTTCAGATAAGGAAATTGGGATTTAGAAGGGTTGTATGGTCAATCCAGGGCCACTGGATCATAAGAGCCATATTTAGGATTCAAACCCCGATTTTTCTGACTCCAAAGTTTGCGCTTGCCCCCTAATTTTGGGTAGGGATATCATCAGTCTTCTGTAGGAATTTCCCCATCAGTTTTGAAGGGTAAGAAAAGGTGATTTTAACAAACAGCCAAATTCACTAGTGCTATTGATAAGGAACCAAAAGATCTCTTTTCAAATTATTAATATGCTTCTATTAAATGAAGCATATTAACTGCTAGTTGGCTAGAGGAACATTATAGATTTGATGTGATCACTCCTTCTACATTTCTTCAAGGGCTTGGTAGTGCTTTATCCGCAGCATCACCTAAACACAGGGTCTCAGGCTGGCTGTTCCATGCAGCCTCTCCTCAATACTATTCAATTGAGAAAAAGAGGGGGAAGGTGGGGTGCAGAAGCATAAACAGCCACAAGCCTCACTGTGACTTGGCTAACTAGTTGGAAAAGGCAGACCAGTCCTCAGGTCCTTGTTAATAGCTGACCAGACACTTGCTGTTGGAGAAGGAAATACTCAGAAGCTCCACAGTGCTGATCGTGGTGTGTTTATTGGGGCACAGGTGAAGGTGGCCTCCATCAGGTTGGGCACTGCTGACTGGTTTGACTCCTGGGAGAATGGGAATGATGAAGGCACCTGGCAACGGAAGTCCCCCAAGTTGGAGCTGCTCGGGGGAGCCAGGTACTACCTGGAGGCAGAGCAGCGTGGGAGAGCCCCCAGCGGGGGCATGAGAATTGGTGTCCAGATCCACAACACCTGGCTGAATCCCGATGTGGTCAGCACCTACCTGCGGGAGAAGCATCAGATCCGAATCCGCGCTGGGAGACTTCCGGAGATCCAGGTCTGCATCCCTTCCCAGTCCCATGGACTTAGGGTCAGGGCCTGAATTCCGGAAGGGATATAATGTTGCCTAGTGGAAGGATCACTGCCCGGGAGCAGAAAATTTGAGTTGTAATTACCACTCTGCTGCCAGAGAAAAAGGATATGTATCCAATAGGGTTGTGAGAACGTTTAAAAAAATGCAAAGTCTTGTTATTGAGATGACTTTATTCATGGACTTAGTTTCAGGAATTTAAGGTCCAGGTAAATATTCTTTTGGAAACTTACTCCTTAGAGAAGAGATGAGGTCCTCTGAACACCCACACCCACACCCACGTGTGCACGCTAAAGCATGTGCACCTGAGATTTCATAGCCTTTTGACTATGTTTTCCCTATTGGCTGTGTTTTCTAAGTCTACTTTGTAAAGGTTAAGGCCTTTGGGTCTCTCAGTTGTGCCCCATACTTTCGTTGAATAATTTTGGTGTATTTTTGTTGTTCACTTTTTGGTGTACAAGGATGAGTCACTATGGACTCTGCTTTTTAAGCTTACACTCTAGTCGGAAAAAAAAGTATATAAATAGCCACAAGAAGAAAAAAAAATCACAAGTGATATAAGATGATATATAAGCCATATATGAAAGCACTTACACTTTCTTACTCCATAATGAAAGTGTAAGGTGCCTGGCAGGGAATGTACTGGAAGCCAAGCCGAGATGGAGTAAGCCTCTGAGAGTGTGACATGCCATGTGGCTGCTTCTGCCTGCCAGGCCCCTGGGAGAGAGAGAGTGCTTGGGGAGAAGAAGAAAGCGGGCCATTCAGGGGCAATGTGTGTGTGGGGGGAGGGAGTAGCAAAGATAAATTGGGAGACAGACATGCACATTATTCCAAGGCAAGTTTTCATTAGGAGATAACACTTGTGTTCTCCAGATATTTCTAGATGATAGTTTAAAAATGGAAATTTTAATAAGAAAATAGCAAGCCAAGAAGTATGTTCTCAGATGACCTCTGTGGCTTGATTAGCACATGTCAGTAAGTCCTGTTACTCTTGACTTTTTAGATGCTAACTGTGTCTGGAAGTGGGAGCTTCTTCCTTACTTGGGACAATGTCTCCAGCCAGCCTATCCCTGCAAATGCCACAGCCCATCAGGTGGGAACCTCCTTCAAACACGGTGGTGGGGAGCCAGGGGTGGTCTTTATGTCCACGGTATAAACTCCTGGTAGCTTTTCTTTTCTACAGATTCAAACAGCCATTGAAGAGTTACTTGCAGTCAAATGCCAGCTGGAACCCTTTTCGGCTAACATCTTACTCCGAGTTGGATTTGAACAAGGTGCTGTCCCTGGCTTGACAAATTGTGACCCTCTTCTCCATCATTCTCTGTCCCCCGCCCCCCGCCTCTGTCTCCTTCTCTTTCTTTCTCTCTGTCTTTCTCGTAAAATGGGAACAATCTTCATTTCCTCTCCAACGTGCTAATAGAGTCAAGGAAGATACGGAAACTGGATTTGGACACTGAGTGGCCAAAGGAGTGGCTACTTTCTTGGGAGGGAGCTGCTTGGTGTGGTGTCCTCCTGAGCTGTCTGATGAGAAGCCAAGGGTGCTGGGGAGTCAGAGTTAAGGATCACAGTGGGAAAAGACTTGGAAAAGATATAGGTGGGAAGCGGCAAGACAGTACAAATCTTGTTTAAATTGCATCTTGAGTAAAGGAATTATTACATAAAACAGTAGTCTTAACAAATTTTAAAAATGAAATGGTTTATTTTAAAAATACTAAGGTGAATTAAGTTGCAATTGACACGCCTTATCTTTTTACTTCTCAACAATTTTCCGTGTCATGGTACACATGGAAATGGTAGTCCCCCTTTATGCAAACCCCCAGTGAGTACATGAAACCTTGGATATATCATGTTTTTTTTCCTATACATACGTACCTCTGATAAAGGTTATTTATAAATTCAGCAAGAAAGAGATTAACAGCCATAACTAATAATAAAATAGAACAGTTATAACAACATACTATAATGAAAGTTATGGGAATGTGGCATGTCTCTCTCTCTCTCTCTCTCTCTCAAAATATCTTATTATACTGTACTCACCCTTATTCTTTTTTTGTAATGGTGCAAGATGATAAAATGCCTACGTGATGAGATGAAGGGCGGTGAATAATGTATGCATTATGACAGAACATTAGGCTACTGTTGACCGTATTGATACTTTACTAAACAAGCACTTTCCGGCTTCTCTTTGGCATATCGGAATGACCAGCATCACTACTCCTGCACTTTGGGGCGATTATTAAGTAAAACAGGGTTACTTGAACACAAGCACTGGGATCTGAGAACCCAAAGAGCTACTAAGTGACTGCCAGTGGGGAGCATCTAAGCTAGGGACTGTGTGAGATTTCATCATGCTATTCAGAGTGGCGTACAATCAAAAACCTATGAGTTGTTTATTTCTGGAATTTTCCATTTAATATTTTTGGACCATGGTTGACTGCTGGTAACTGAAACTGTGGAAGTGAAACCACAGTAAGGGGGGACTACGTATATTTTTGATGCTCTAGGGGTGACAGAATGGATTTTTCATAGTTGGAGCCTGCAAGCAGGGGGCTGCAGGGCACCCTAAGCCCTGCCCAGCTCACCCGAGGGCTGGGGGACCAATATCATGGGGAACCCATAGCTCATGCCCTGCACACATGTTAGGAAGCTCTGTCTTTTTAACATCTACCCTGTCTTTTCATTTTATTTGAACTGCATGCAGGCCCAGAAGGTTCCAGCTTTGATGGGGACCTCACCAGTGGGACAGAGCCCTTCTGTGGGAGGTTCAGCCTCTGCCGGCCTCGACACCTTGTCCTCACACCCCCTGCTGCCCAGCACGGCTACCGGCTGGACCAGTACACACAGGTACGGAGCAGCCCTCATGCTTCCAGCGAGGCATTGGTCTTCCTCTCGGGGGTTGAGATGGAGAAACAGAAGCACAAACGAGTGATTGCTGTGTTTGCTGTGGGAACCAGGGTGAGCCTTGCTGGGGCAGCTGAGCTCATGGCAGTGGTTTTGTCCTGGCCTAGTTGAACGGCAGTGGGAACGGGACTGAATGGTTCAGGTTGGGGCACCACCCATCTCTCAGAAGCACTTCCCATACAGCAGAGGCTCCCAATGGGCATAATTTTGCCTCCTAGGGGAGAGTTGGCAATTTATGAGGACATTTTTGGTTGCCACAACTGGGTCATTGCTACTGGCATCCACTGGATAGATCTCAGCGATGTTGCTAAATATGTACATTGTGTAGACTAGACCCCTCACAGGAAAAAAAAATGCAATCCAAAATGTCAATAGTGCTGAAGTAAAAAAAATTCTGCTCTAAAGACTTTTTGAGCCAAATAATTTTACGTAACTCAGAGTTAGAAACCAAGGATGCTGGGGAGTTAGAGTCAAGGAATTGCAGCTCAGAGAGGTTAAGTGACTTGCTCAAGGTTGCACAGGTAACCGGGTCAGAACAGGAGTTTTCTAATAGAGATCCTTTAAAATTGTCATTGCCAAACACAGTGCCCTTAATAACTTTTTTGGAAAGTAACAATTTACTCTAAATGATTTGTCTCTCCTGCTAGACTAGTAAGTTCCGGGAGGGCAGGAACTGGGCTGACTCTCTCACAGCATGAGGCAGGGTTCTAGAAAGGTGGACTCACCTCACCACACATTGTTTGAATGGTTGCTTCCTGCACTGATAGAGCTGAAGCACTTATCTGGTGTCCACAGCTGTGCATTGCATACAAAGGCCACATGAATAAGACCCTGAAGGTGACCGTGTCTTTCACAATCGATCTTCAAAACATCATTAAGAACATCACCTGTGACTGGAGTCTCATCGGAACCAGTCCCGAAAGGTAGATAACCTGTGGGGAGTTGTGGGAATTCTGCCAACTGGGATGATTAGCTCTCTCGGGGACAGTGCCTCAGATACGAGCTAACTTGGGGCTCTGAACACAGATGTGGAAAAAAATGGAGCCTGGAGAAGTTTGATGTAAAAACAGTTAGTTGTAAAAACAGTTAGTTGTGAGGACTATAATCTTTCTAGAAGGAGTCTGACATTTCTCATAGAGTCACAGAACATAGTATTTTTAGAAAATATTCCTTGACATTACCGATGAGAAAAATGGGGTGGTGATTCACCCCATTTGGTGATTCACCAAAATTCGGCAAGTGAACAAGATTCTGGAATAAAATTCAAGCATCTCAATGCCTTGACTCAGTGCTCTTTCCAGAGATCTCTTATGGGTTTTGCAAGTGGTTTTAAACTAAATAGTCCTGTAATGTCCAGGAGTATTAATCTTCCTTGTCATTAAAGCCTAACATACTATCTGCCTGAGACACACACTTATATTGTATCTAGAGGCCCGGTGCACCAATTCGGCCTGGCCTGTGGGATCAGGCCAAAACTGGCTCTCCGACATCCTCCAAGGGATCCTGGATTGCGAGAGGGCACAGGCCAGGCCGAGGGACCCCACCAGTGCACAGTCAGGGCCGGGGAGAGACTCGGGAGGTTGGCCAGCCAGGGAGGGACTGCAGGAGGGCTCCAGGGCATGTCTGGTCTGGCCTGGCCTGTCCAATCGGCCGGACCCCAGCAGCAAGCTGACCTACCGGTTGGAGCGTCTGCCCCCTGGTGGTCAGTGCACATCATAGTGAGCAGTTGAGCAGCCTTAGCATATCATTAGCATATTACACTTTGGTTGAATGGCTGACAGGTTGACAAGACACTTAGCATATTAGGCTTTTATTATATAGGATTTGAAAAAGACTCCATGTCAGGAATGAATGATTGCCTTAAAATGTGATTCACTAATGTGATAGCACAAGTTCAGCTTAACAGCCTGCCTTGGATGTTGTACCCAAGGCACACAAGACTGTTTGGGTGCTGGGGGTTCACGGGGTCCCTCTCCTGGCTACACAGTCCTCAGGCCCCCAGGTTAGAGAACGAGGGCTCTAACGGGAGGTGACTGTGGATGCACAGGAACAGGCCCATTTCCGCTGTGCGCTTGTTTTTCAGCTGGCGATTCACTTGCACTAACCTCTGGAAGACTTGTGTGCATCGCTCCACGCATCTCCAGAGGCCTCTGGCAAACTCCCCGGTGCTGGTTCATCGAATTGACCTCTTCCCTCTGGCTCTGGAGACGGGCCTGTTCTGTGTGGATGAAGTTATTATTGCAGACACAAACCTAACAGGTGATTATCGAATCCACTCTCCTCCATGGACCTGTCCGTCAAAGGCTGACCTTAAACTTTTCTGCTAGGGGCTGCTGTTATTTTAATGAAGAGGGAACAGGTGATTCTCCATCTTGCCTGCCTTTTCCTAGAGAGAAGATGGGGTTGGTATTGTGTGCCCTTGGCCCCTATATTTCTCCAGCTGGCTCCTCTTTTTTCCTATTTCCTGCAATGCTTGCTCCTGCTTCTGGTGGTTGTGCTGTTGCCCTGATTTTACTCCTTCCTTGCTGAGAAGCCTTGGTTTCCTCATCCATAAAATGGTCATATTGAGGTCCCTGCCTTATTGGATTAACTGCAAAGATTAACTGAAGTGTAATGGAAAGCACTCATCACAGGTCCTGACCATAGTAAGTGCTCAATAAACATGAGCAATTATTTTATTTTATTTTTTTGTTGAGGATCTCTGATCTTGACTAGTATAATTTTTTTAATTTCACTTTTTTTTATTACAAAGGGTATTACATATGTGTCCTTCCCCCCCACCGACAATCCCCTGTCTTCCCTTACCCCCCAGTGTCTTATGTCCATTAGCTATGCTTATAAAACATGAGCAATTATTATTACTTATTAACATTATTATTACTGTTAATAAGAAGTCCAGAAGGATTTCTTGATCTCTCTGTCAGTTAATATCTGTCATACAAAGTGCCGGAAGAACACAGCAATATGTGGCCATATAAAGGGACTGAAGTTCTGATTTATGACAGACTCAGTGAGAGCTAGAGGGTAACCAGGCCCTCATGAGAATAGCCTTGTCTTGTCCTTCCTTCTGCCCACCTAGATTCCTCCCCCTTGTCAGTTAGGGTTCAGGCCGGGCCTATTTCTCAACCAAGTCCTTTGTCCTCCCTTAGGCACAGTGATCTCACTGGGCTTTGCTTGTCCACAGGTCTTAGGGACAGAGTGCTCATCAGGGGACTTGAGACTGGCCCCAGAGACCGCGCACCCAGGGGAAGGGAAGCCCCCAGCCAGGCAGATGGTGCCACTGCTCCCAGGGCCTCCAGGCTTCCAAGTTCTTTTTATTCTCCATTTCCCGTCACATCCTTGTGACTTTGGGGCTCAGCTTTCCTGCTTCAAGTAGCTTCTCTCACCCAGGAGAAGGGGAGGAAGCAGTAATTTACATTTTATTTACAAAATGTGCAAGTTTTCAGCCTTTTGCCTGTAACATTGCAGAGCTGAGGGCAGGGGAACTTGGGGTGCATGACAAAAGGTCCCTCTTTTAGCCCTGAAATTACCTTGTATTTGAACTCATCAAAATTCCATCTCTTATTTGTTTCAGTGGTTTAAGTGTTTTGAGGGCATCTGGGTCAGATTGTGTCACTGCTTATTTTAAACCCTGCTTTTATGTTCTGGCACACAGAAAATAATATTCAGATGGTGTGCTTGGGTAACTGCCTGAATTCTTGGTGCCTAAGATACCGAGCTGGGCCTTTGGCGACCCTCAAGTGCTGCCCAAATTCCTGGAGGACTGAGGGTCTCAATATTTCAGACACTTGAACTCCGTGATAGGGAAACTCAGGATTAGATAAGAGTTGCCTTCCCCTTTTTTTCTCTTCTCCTTTAAATGCTATCTTATACCTACAAACCTTCAAAGTGCAAGATCCAGAGCGCTTTCTCACTGCCCCCACCTCTCTGCCACCAAATGCTCCGCTATCTGGATCCATCCTAGGAGTGAGGTGAGGAGGGAAGCAGAGAGGAAGAGGGCAGAGACAAGAAAGAACATGGGTGGCTTGGGTAAAACCATGTTTCCTGCTTTGGCTAGTTAGCCTGCTGGTAATAACTTTGCTTTGAGGATTTTTTTTTTAAAATATATTTTATTGATTTTTCACAGAGAGGAAGGGAGAGAGACAGAGAGTCAGAAACATCAATGAGAGAGAAACATCGATCAGCTGCCTCCTGCACATCTCCCACTGGGGATGTGCCCGCAACCCAGGTACATGCCCTTGACCGGAATCGAACCCGGGACCCTTCAGTCCGCAGGCCGACGCTCCATCCACTGAGCCAAACCGGTTTCGGCTGCTTTGAGGATTTTTTAATGGCAACATAAACTTGATACAATTGGGCTCAATATTCAGAGTTAATTGTCCAACATTTATCTGATCAATTTAACATGATTATATCCTCCCATTTAAATGTCCTCTATGGAAGTTTTTCTCATCTAATGGTAGCTACCATTTATTTCTCATTTACTTCTTAGAACCCCATGAGGTGGTCCTAGTATTCCTACCCTATAGATGACAAAAGCAAAGCTAAGAGGGGCTGAGTATCTTGCTCCAAATCCACAGCCAGGACGTGGGCAATCCTGGAACCCTGAGATCATTGATACCAAAGCCAAAACTTCAATGACTCCGTACCCAGCTGAGTGAATCCACATTTACTGAGCACCACTCTGTGCCTGGTGCTGTGCTAACCATTGGGCATGCACGCATACTGCCTTTAAACTGTTTCCTGTCTCATTGTACTGTCTTGGGGAAGAAGCTCTGTTTTACACAGCACCTAGTAGGAGGGGAGGAGAATATTAAATTACATTGTGCTGGTCATTTAAATCTGCCATCTCACTAAACTCTCCCTGCTGTGCAGGTTGGTATATGTCTTGATTCCCATCTTAGAAATGAGAAAATGTCTTAGGTTGGTTTGATTAGCCAAGTGGTAATCCAAGAGAAGTGGAAAATCAGGATTTCAACAGTGGCCTGTCTCAAAGTGTGCACTTTTCCTGCTCATGCGCTGACTCTACACTGTGGATAAATAGTAGGTACCCCAGTACATGCCTCGTGTGTTCAGCTTCCTAAGGAGGATCTGCTGGGCATTCCTGGAGTTGCCAGGGAAAAGAAAGGAGGAAAGGGTGGCCATCCACACTGTGGTAGATTACCTGTGTGCGGGTCCTCCTGTGGCACAGGGAGTGATGTTTGGCTTATGTCTCCTTGAACTTTGCTGTGAAATCAGACTTTGTCTCCTTACACCATGACCTTCCATTTTTTTGTTGCTACTAAACTCCTGCCTCTTCTCACTGTGCTCTGCACCCAGCAGAGGGCAGGAATCTCAGCTTTGAGTGTGTGCTGAGATCTCAGTAACTCAGCATCTCCAGCGGGGCCTTTCCTCGCAGCTGGTCTTCCACCTTGAGTTACTTGATAATAATTGGATCGTTGCTCTCCAGTTTCTCAGGCTGATTCTGGAACAGCTCGCCCAGGCGGGAATCTGGTGGAATCACTCTCTGTGGTGGGATCCTCTCCAGTCTACAATGTAACCTCCTGGTTGGCAGGGTGTGTCTCAGAGCTCCCGCTCATCACTGCAAGGTAAGGAGCTGTCTTTGTTCACCGGTCGCTCCTTAGGATTGCTAGTTGGTCCTGGTGGACACAAAGGTGGGACTTTTATTAGGAAAAGTCACCCATCTTGTTGCTTAAAGCAATGCTTCTTAGTCTCAAGAATGCAGTATAAGACACCTGGAGGTCTTTTTAAAATATAAATCACTGAGCCCTAACCCCACCATCTTTAATTCACTGGGTATGGGGCAGGGTCTGAGAATTTGCATTCTCAGTGGGTTCCCAGGCAATGCTGGTTTTACTGGTCTGGGGAACTACACTTCAAGAACTAGTTCCTAGAGAATTTGCTTAAAAGTAGTTGTATATTTATGCTCTTCAGAGGCTCACATTGCCTCCATTTTCTGTTCACACCCCTTCTTCCATTTCTCATATATTAATCTTATTGGAATTACTTGAGGCTAAATGAAAGTCTATAGAACAAACACAGCTATTTCTAAGAACTCACCACCAGATGGCACTAGAGCCCCATAAGCAAATAGTCAAACTTCCCAGCCAAATTTACAAAGCAATAACTAAACATCAGGCTCTTCCTCTAAGCTCCTGGAACATGTGTAGACTCTAATTCATTCTTTTGTTTTGTTTTTATTTATTATTTTATTTTATTGAATTTATTGGAGTGACTGGTTGGTTAATAAAACCATGCAGATTCCAAAACCCCAGTAGGACAGGAAGAATTGAGAAGCTTGGCCTTTACAGTCTCCCCCCTCCTCCATCTCTTTCTAATATGTTCCAAAATTAGTTCTCACACTTACACCATGCTTAAGACTGTGTATTAATGACAGGTGCAGTGATTGACTTTGCTCTCCTCTTTCCTTGACCTGGTCCTCTGGGCAGAAAGAAGTGAAATCCATCAACAGGATGAAAGAGTGCAAGCTCTTCGGTGGTGGGGAGGGAGCTGCCGCACCCTCCAACCTGCAGTCCTATTCCCCAAATGTCACAGCTATTAACCCTGAACCGATAGGACTTTAGGTTGTTTTGAACAGGCCCACTACCTTCCCTACTGATTTTTCCTCAAGTCCCTTCACTCCTGGGAGCCTCCAGCCTGAGCAAGACAGGGCAGCCTTTAGTCTGGCCTCTCCTAGATTCATCTTCCAACACCCATAGTGTCCCTTTGTCTGACTGCTTCTGTTTGGTTGTATGTACCACGTCAGTATGTAAAACTGAATACTGTTAATGACAGAAATTAGATATGTTTATTGTTGAAAATTGGGAATATATAGAAAAACACGTAGGAGAAGATAAAAATCACTCTGTCTGCTCAGACATAACTTCTATTAACATATTGAATCCATATTCTGGCTGCCTATTTCCCCAAGCAGTTTTTACATACATATATACATGTATACATGTACTTTTAAACCTCTTATTAGGACCAAAAATAACATACTCTATTTGTACATGCTCTTTTCACCTAATGGTATAACTTAAAATTTTCCTCATTTCATTAAACATTCCTCTAAAATACAGTTTTTAATGGGTGAACGGTATTCCATCTCATGGTGTGTCACAATTCAGTCGACCCATTTTTATGGTATTAAGAGCAGCGTCAGGCAGTCGGTGTGTTTGTGCGCAGGTATTAGAGAAGAACTTGGCCAGCTGCAGTGGCCTGTGTTTCAGCTGCAGATACCGAATGGGGAAGTTTCTGTCACTGCCTGTGCATTTAACTATGCAAATGCGGTTGAGAATACCAAGTTCTCCCTCCACTCTGTGTTGGGGACTAGAGCCGTGGAGGCCAGTGTCATCGCTCTGGTGCACAGTGAAGGGGAAGGATGGACATTCTTAAAAAATCCTAATATTTACAGCACACTTTTTCTACTGTGATAGGAGAGGGGCACCAGGTATTTGGGAGCCTGAGCTCAGGGTGGTCTGGAACCGTGGGAGGGTAGCTGGTCTTTGAGAAGGAGCTATGTTCTGCCTGGAGCAACATTCTGGAAGGTTACTGTGGTTAATGCTTGGTGTTTGATATGCCACAGCGCTGTGCCCACCGAAGGAGCAGAAGAAGGATCCGGGTTGGTCCAGGTGGCAACGCAGAGACTTCAGAGAACAAGTCCACCTTTAGGAGGACACTTTTGCATCCACCTTTCTAATACAGTGATTCCTGGTAAAGGGGCAGATGGGATGGTGGTGGTGGTGCAGCATTTATCATTTACACTTTGAGGGGCATTCCTAGGCAAGCAACATCCTGTGAGATTGTCAGGCATGGGGACAGTCTGAATGCTATTTTGTTTATTTTCCAGGGTCTGAAAATGATCTTATTAAATAAGACTTAGACAATAACAATATCATTGCTAATATAATCCCAAACTTTTAGCTTTATAGATGTGGAAACAGTGGTTTAGCTTCTTGGGGCTGCCATAACAAATGACCACAACTTCGTGGCTTAAAACAACAGACATTTATTCTCTCACAGTCGAGGCCAGGAGTCCAAAATCAAATTGTTGGCTGGGCTACACTTTTCCTGAAGGCTCATGGGGAGAGTCCACTTCCTGCCTTTTCCAGCACCTGGTGGCTGCCCTTGGCTATGGCTCCACCCCCTGTCTCTGTGGTCACATTGTCTCTTCCTCTTCTGTCTCAGAACTCTCTCTGCCTCTCTCATAAGGATATATGTGACCCAGGGCCCACCCTGACAATCCAAGATAAACTCTTCTCAGGATCTTTGACTTAGTCACACCTTATGCTATATGTAAGGTAATATTAACTCTTTGGCCTTATAATGTAATATTAATAGGTTCTGGGGATTAGGGAATTGACATGTCTTTTTTATTTTTTTTAAATCCTCACCCAAGGATATTTTTTCCATGATTTTTAGAGAGAATGGAAGGTAGGGGGGCTTAAGAGAGAGAGAGACATCAATGTGACTGGGCCAGGGATCGAACCTGCAACCTAGGTAGTGCCCTTGATTGGGAATTGAATCTGCAACCCTTCACTGTGCAGGCTGCAGCTCTAACCATTTAGCACCACCGGCCAGGGCGACATATCTTTTGGAGGGCCACCATTCAGCCTACTACACTGAGGTTTGCCCAAAGATCATGCAGATAGTTGATGGTCCTCTTCTCTCTGGTGTTTCCTAGGCCAAGATCCATGGTAGCCATGGTTCTTTTGAATTAAACCCCACGATGACGCCATATGCTCTTGAGGACAGTAGTGATCATAACGAAGGTAGAAGGAACTTTCAGATGCGATGAGAGTAGTTTCTAAATCTTCAATAACGTACACATTTCAAAAAGGATAAGGATTATAAATGATTATAATTTGTTATTTAGTTGGTATAAACATAGGGGAATCAAAGGAGGCTCAGGAGAACTCAAGAGTGGCTGTATAAAAATTGGTGCATGGTCCAAAAATCTTCTGCCCTCCCAGGCAGAAAGATGCTGGGCTTGCAATAAATCTTCTAGAGTGGGAAGAATAGAGTGGTGTTTTTACTCTAATAGGGCAACTTAGGGAAAGCTGAAGGTCCTTAGGCTACTGGACTCTATTGCTACTAGAGTCTGATAAGTGGGTGAATCAGTGCCAGCAGTGCCCTGCTCCTGTGAAGTCCATCACTGTGCTGTTTCCCTTGCAGCCCGTGCGTGCGTGTGTGCGTGCGTGCGTAGACAGACTCTTCCTGCCACCGCCTTCTATTCTGATGCTCCTCACATCATTGCCTGCAGAACAACAGGGGAAGCCAGCCTTCACCTGGCCTTTTGAAATGGTGAGGGCCCCAAGTTATGCAAATGTAGAATAATCTTTTTTAAAAAGGATGAGAATTTTGTTTGCATTTTAGAAATATAGTGGTATTTTATTAACACTCCAAGGCAGTGTGGGATTTAAGAGGAAGACTTGAGTAGATAGAAGGCAACCTGGATTTTAATATAAACCTTCCTCACTTGGTTGGCAAGCTTCTGAATCTTCTTAGTTTTCATTTTCTTCATCTCTAACGGAGGCATTAGGGTACCCAAATGACCCACCTCCCAGAGCTGATGAGAATGGCTAATGAAATGGAAACTTTTGGTAAAGCATGAAATAGTTCAAACCCAAGTAGGACTTGAAACACCCAGTGTTACTGCTCTATGCTATGGCGATGTGGAATGGGGAAGCAGGTGGTTGGGCTTAAAGGAAATTCTAATAGAGAAACCGAAGTTAAATGTCAGCATTCCTCAGCTGGGCTGGCTATGTTTTTATGGATGTCAGCTGCTGTGTGCCTCTCCCACCCCCTGTGAAAGGTGGCCAACTTTTCTCTGTTCACAGAGCCAGCTACATTTTTTTTTCCCCCAGGAAAACTCAACATTTAATTAGACTTTCAGGCATTACCAGGGTGTCTGGAGTCTGGAGTCTGTATTTTGAGTTGACAGTTGAGATAGTTTTCTCTGCTTGGAATTTGAGATGTGATACTGACTAAAGGTATCACGATATAAAAAGGGGGCATCTACTCATATCTACCTTAGGAAAAAAATGGTTTAACTGGGCTGGGGCTTCTCTTGAAGCTATAGTTTGAACATGAGAGTCTCCTGCATATTTAGAAGGTATCTTGACATTTATTCTCTGTTATCTTCATGATGAGCCCTTATGAGTAGAGTAATTTATGTCTTATATTTTGTATATCACAACCTTTCCCCACAGATGTTCCTGTACGTATTTCAGCTAGTCACCTTCGCAAGCTCTTACAGAACAATGCTGATGACGTCACATCCAGGTATCTCAATGTCAGTGACTTCACTGTGAAGGAGGATCTGAAGTCTTGCTACGAACATGTATGGACTCTCTCGTGGTCCACCCAGGTTGGGGATTTGCCCAATTTCATCCAGGTATGTGTGGTATCCCTTTTGGTGGTATGGGGTTTGTGCCTGGAACAATTTTGTAAAGAAAAATATCAGAATGATATAAATGAAAACCGTCATGAATTATTAATTTTATTGGAATATTCAAATAAAGGGGCTCAATTATCTTGCTTTCTGGAAGTTTTCAAGACGTATTTTGTGTCTCATATCTCTGATAAAGCAATTTGAACCAGTGTCTCCTTTCCTAACTCAGTGTAGGTAGAGACGTTGTTGGTCAGTGTCCACCTTACACCAATTCTGCATCTGTTATTGGATAATTTAAGCAGATGTGATTGACTTAGATTATGAGGGAGGCAGATGGCACAGCAGAAGGAATTTTAGAAAAGGATTTGCTGTCTTTGGGTAATGACAAAGCCAGATGCTCTTGCATATTTAGGGTTTTAAAAATAATCTAATGATCATCTAGCATTTGGTTATTATAAAATGAAATCCGAGATGGAATTTGATCCCTGTTATATGGTGGTGTGGGTCATCTGGTTTTCAAACAAAATAGTTGGGTGGAGATAGATGAAGGACAGGAGTCATCTCATAGCACTTGTTTCCTTACATTTTATTGTAATATTTTGGATTGCAAACATACAAAATAGAAAAGCACATAGAAACAAAAATATCACAAGACTTAGAGAAATAATTTTTGTAGAACTCCATTTGCAAATAAATATCCCTCTAATCTACTGGGCCTTTCATTGGTCATTACTTATGTCAGGTTTCTAGTTTTCAATCCCTGGCCACTCCATTTTCACTTCTAGCTAACGGATTATCTTAAATAGAATGTGAAAAGACCTTTTATTATTTATTTAAATCAAGACTAGACTGCTATTCCATGACAGAATTCACCAGAAATGTGATCGTCTTAGGTCTCTGATGAAAATCTAACCGGAGTGAACCCTGCTGCAACCACTCGTGTGGTATATGATGGTGGAGTTTTTCTTGCACCCATATTTGGAGACATGTTGGTTACTGCCAACCAGCACACTCAGGTGAGAGTAGATGGGCCACCCCAAATGCAAGTACTAGTTTTACGTCTGTCTCAGCCCCTCCCTAGTGTGTAATGTGGACCAATCCCAAGGATAAGTTTTACAACCCATAACTCAGAGACAGCTATGGCTGTCCTCTTTCTATTTCCACAGGGTATGGAAAGGACTCTGAAAACTTAAGTGCTTTGTAAACACAACATCCTGTTATTATAATTATTGATGCTATTATTATGGTATAAAAAATAGAGAACCTCTGTGAGTACATATGGTTTATACCTCCACACATTGGTATTGAAAAGTAAATGAGCTAAGTCAACTCCTTTTCTCTTTAAAATGTCTTTTCCTCTTTCCCATCTGCCCATAATCCTGTTATAAGTCATCTGCTTTTAATTTGAGAAAAATTTAAAATACCAAACTATAAAGAATAATATAACCAAAACCAGGGTACCTAAACTGAGGATTAATAATCATCAACATGTTGATATATTTAGTGTTTTTTGTCTTTATGGATAAAATAAAACAGATAAAATCAAAGTGTTCTTTATCAACTATGCCTTTATGCTATCCCAATACCCTTTTCCTCCATAAGAAAACACTATCATAAAATACAGTGTATGTACTTTTATCCATATTTCCTATGTAGAGAGTCCAGTGAGCATATCTTTTCTCATCTCCAAGTATTGTAAGATTCTATTAGATTAACATTAGTTCCAGTACAAGGGAAAGACATGTACAGGCTGACTCTTGAACAGTCAGGGGTTAGGGGCACTGACACCCTCATAGTAAAAAGTCTGTATATAACTTTTGACTGCCCCAAATCTTAACTACTAGTAGCTGAGATGTATGTTATATGTATTTCATACTGTATACAATAAAGCAGTTAGAGAAAAGAAAATATTATTTCATATGTTATATGTATTTCATACTGTATACAATAAAGCAGTTAGAGAAAAGAAAATATTATTAAAATAATAAGAGAAAATACATTTATATTATTTATAAAAAGTATAATACATTTATAGTATTATTAAGAGAATAATAAGAGAAAATACATTTATAGTATTTATAAATAATACATTTACCCATGTTGTTCAAGGGTCAACTGTGGTCTCTTCTTGGGGCCCTACTATTCTAGGACAAAAAAATACCCCAAACCAAGTGTCCAAATACTCCAATTTTTAGTTATATACCCATGTAGAAATGGTGGAAGGAAGGTGCCTACTTTTTTTGGCATTTACCAGCAAAGAAAGGGCTTTTCACAGGAAATATCTACCTAGTTGAAAATAGAAAGTGATAAAAAGTCCTTGTGCAGTTTAAATTTTATTAAATTTAGTTTTATATGACAGAGAGGATATTTATTCAAGATGTAGCACATTTAATTGTAGAAATGTGATGTTTTAGCATGTTTGCCATCAGTTTAAGAGTCTGACATATTTTGATCCATTCATTACAATTTAGGGTTTATTACTGGGAAATAGAAGAAAGAAAATAAGTGAATCATGAACACATTTTAATTTGGACAAATTTCACAAGTACTTTATGAATACTACTGAGTACATGAAGTGCATACATTTGGGTTTCATTCTTTTGCCTTTTTTCAGGTAGTTGTGCAAGTGAATGACATACTAGCTCATTGCTCAGGTTCCTGTTCTTTCCAGTATCTTGAAGGGTCAACTCCCCGAGTCCACTCTGTGTGGTATTCCCTTGGTAAGATTTGTGACTGGGCATTGAGATGTTCATGAACTTTAGGCTCAGAGTGATTTGTCAGCGGCCATGTACCGGTGATGGGTGGGTAGGAGGTGCATCAGTTTATGGAGTGGATGTTTAGTGATGCAACAGAAAGTGTATTTTTTGGCCAATGTAACTGGTATAGTTATGATTGAAAATGGAGACAAGTGGATTTTTGATGACTTAAAATGCTTTATTTTCTTTATTTCTTGTTTTGAAATATTCTTCACTTTGATTTCCCCCCATTTTTATTGACTAGTCTTCTCTCATTACTACTTTGAGACCATTTAAGATGGGGGCTGTATGCTTACAATGATAAATGTCAGTGTCCAGTATTTGAGTCAGCATGCAACTCCTTGAATCTGAAGATGAGAGAGGAAGATGAACGAAAGTGATCATTTGATGTTAGAGAGAGTTATCTGGAATGGAGTGATATCCCTGAGAGATGATTTTGTTCTTTTAATTTCTTTCCTTCTTTAAGATGGTGACATGGACCTACTGGTTTATATTACTGGAACTAGTTTCTCGGAGGACTCCCAGGCCTTGCAGATTACAGTGAATAAAACAAGTTGCAAAGTTATTTTCTCAAACCAGACAGATGTGGTCTGCCAGGCAGACCTGCTACCTGTCGGAGTGTATCAGATCTCAGTGCTGGTGAGACCCTTGGGTCGTGCCATCAATGCCAGTGGAGGAGGCCTCTTCCTGAATGTGGAACCCAGACTGGACGCTGTGGAGCCTCCACGAGCTGCAGAGATCGGTAATATGGGGAGGACCCCACACTGTATCTGACTCTCTGAAGGTAGCATTCTTGCTGATATGCAGGAACCTACTCCTGCTGTGTAATCAGTTCTGTACCCACTATGATTCACAGCTTTTTGTTTTCTGCCATCAGAATTTCTTCTAATGAGCAACAGATATTTGAGCCCTTAAATGAACTCACTTGCTACATAGTTTGGCTGTGGTACTAGGCACGATTGGGTCAGTCACTGAGTCACCAGGATAATTTGATTTAGTGGAAACAACACCAGATTGGGTGTTAGGACATATGCGCTTGGGTTTCCGTGATGCCAAAATCAGATGTGTGACCTAAGAAATGTCAGTTATTTTTAGGGGACTTAGTTTCCTAATACAGATGATGATAGGCATCGTGTTACTTAAGAAGCATCTCTTCTTAGGTAGTCACATACCCTAAATGCTTACCGCCGCCTGGAAGATGGAGATATTCTCCACATTGTTCAGATGAGATAATGGTGGTTCTGCGAGAACAGTGACTTGCCCCGGGCTTTCCAATAGAAAGAGGTGGATTTAGGATGCAAACTGGGATTGTCAGATGCCAAGACTCCTGCTGCTTTTGCGTGCCATGCTGTCTTAGTTATATAATGAGCCTAATGATGCTTAACTTATAGGCCTCTTAGTTTTGTATGAGATTAAAGTGAGTCAACAGGTGGGAAAGTCCTTTGAAAAGTAAAAGCATTTGCATGTGCGATACACAGGTCTTGCCCACTAGAAGCCTTGCACACAGTGGGTGCTCACAAATGTTTGTAAACTGATATACACTTGGATACTTGGCTAGCATGCAAAGCCAACTAGCATTCGAATAGTGGGGTATGCAAAGGGCAGTGGATCTTGTCAGTGTCAGCCCGGTGGATTGGGTCTAAGTGCCATGAAAACCAAGGATCTCTTCTGAGGAACATGACAGTTAAAAACAACCCAGCCAGATTGCAAGAATTCTTAGGAATACTCATGCGTGTATATATATACGTTAATGTATGATTTTTGGAACATAAAACTTCTTCTTTTTTAAAAAAAATATGTCATTGATTTTTTACAGAGAGGAAGGGAGAGGGATAGAGAGTTAGGAACATCGATGAGAGAGAAACATCGATCAGCTGCCTCCTGCATACCCCCTAATGGGGATGTGCCCGCAACCAAGGTACATGCCCTTGACCAGAATTGAACCTGGGACCCTTCAGTCCGCAAGCCAACGCTCTATCCACTGAGCCAAGCCAGTTAGGGCAGCATAAAACTTCTTAATGCCTTGGGTTGTTGTCATTGTTTATTCTGCTGGACAAAGACCTGTGGCTTAAAACATTTTTTGAAGTGGTGTTTCCTGGCCACAAATGCGTTGTTCCAAGGAACAGCTTGTTTCTGACTTGACTTTGCCTAGACAAGTGACTAACATAGGGCAAGCTTTCTCTGATTTCTCAGTGATTTAAGGGAAGAGCCAGAGGATGTGTGGTGCTCACAGTGCAAGATCATATTTGATATTAACCCAATAATGATTAGCTTGAGTTTAGGGCATATAATAGTCTTCCCAGTAGATGTATAATGGACTTTGATCTCAAGTTACCTTTGCAGTTCAGGCCACGCAAACCTTCTTTAGCTCCTGCCACTAGATTGCAGACACCCCAGTGGCAGACAGGTGACTCAGTAATCTTTGTTTCCTCTAGACCAGTGGTTCTCAACCTTCCTAATCCCGTGACTCTTTAATACAGTTCCTCATGTTGTGGTGACCCCCCATTTCATTGTTACATATTGAACATAATTAAAGCATAGTGATTAATCACAAAAACAATATGTAATTATATATGTGTTTTCCAATGGCCTTAGGTGACCCCTGTGAAAGAGTCGTTCGACCCCAAAGGGGTCGCGACCTACAGGTTGAGAACCGCTGCTCTAAACAGAGTGCCTTGCTCAGGCTAGGCGTCCAACTGTGCTGGTTTTCCTGGGACTGAGGGGTTTTCCAGAATGAAAGACTTTCAGTTTTAACACTGGGTCATGGAACTCTTAATGCTAAAACTCAGAAAGTCCCAGGCACATGAATAGTGGTCCCTTATCCTATCACCCAATCAAGGCATACTGCACCAGCAATATGTAGTAAAGTGATTTGTCGGGGAGGATTGTACATTATCTCTATATATTTTAGGAAAAGATGGAACACTCAGAGAAGGAAAAATGTTGGGTGGGTGCAAATTGACTTTCAGTAAAGACTAAGGGAAAAGGGGAGGAGAGAGAGAGAGAAGCTCTAGTTGCTACTATCCTTATTACTGGATTTAAATTTTACCTTCGCTCTGCTACCTACTTAGTATCAACCAGTCTTACTCCTTTACTCAACACTGATGAAGCCACCCTGTGTAAAGCCCTGTGCTAGATGCTGAAGTCCTTGCCACTCACAGTGTGGCTCTGGACTAGTAGTAGCTGTATCAGTTGGAAATCCGTTAGAAATGCAGAGTCTCAGGCCCTATCCCAGACCTCCTAATGAACCTGCATTTTAACAGGATCCTTAGGCCATTTCTATGAACAGTGGAGTTTAAGCAAAGTTGCAGTAGAGGATTTAAAGAGAACCAGGCTGAGTCCTACCAGCAAGGAATTTACAGCATAATCCAGTATGAAATGAATATGTATAATATGACAAATAATATTCTAAATTACCGCTTACCCTATGCAGAAGCACCCTCCAGAGGATTTTAAAGGAAAATCTTGGCTTTGGAGGACATACTTACTTGGCCCACTTCTTACTGAGTTACCGTCTCTTTCGTTATGGGACCTTGTGAGACACCTGAACTTTCAAGTAGAAATGGCACAGTGTTACCACCTCTGCAACTTTTAATCATTAACATCAACAATAATAACAACACTTTATTTAGCTCTTATTATGTGCCAGAGACTATTAATGCGGGGCATATAGTAAATTAAAATAACGTGCCTGCTGCCATGGAGGTGATGGTTAATTGTGTCAGAGGAAAATCAAGCAGGGGAAGAGTGACAGAAGCGGTGGTTGTGGTAGGAAGGCCATTGGCACTGGAGGGTTGAGGTGGATGGCATTGGAGAATGGAGACATGGATGAGGTGAAGGAATGAGTCCTGGGGAAATCTTGGAAAGGAGAATTCTAGGCGGAGGGAACATTGAATGATAAAGTCTTAAGTCAGAATAAGCTTGGCTTGTTCCAAGAACACAAGCGAGGCTACAAATATATATATACTTTAAAGAAATACTTATCCAAATCCTGTGCCCATTTAAAAAATTGAGTTATTTGTCCTTTAATTGTTAATTTGTAAGAGTTCTTTATGTAGTCTGGGCGAGTCTCTTATCAGATATATGATTTGCAAATATTTTCTCCCACCTGTGGCTTGTTTTTTTATTTTCTTGATAGTAGTCTTTGAAGCACAAAAGTTTTAAATTTTGATCAAGTCCAATGTATATTTTATTGTTGTTGTTGCTTGTGCTTTGGTATCATAGCTAAGAAGCAATTGCCTAATCCAGTGTCACTAAGATTTGTGCATATGTTTTTTTCTCTAAGAGTTTTGCAGTGTTAGCTCCTGCATTTAGGTATCTGATTCATTTTGAGTTAACTTTTGCATATGGTATGAGGTAGGGGTCTGAATTAGTTTTCTAGGGATGCTTATCTAGGTACCACAAACTGGATGGCGCAAACAACAGACATTTATTGTCCTACTGTTCAGGAGGCTGGAAGTTACAGATCCAGGTGTTGGCAGAGTTGATTCCTTCTGAAACAACCTGCTTCATGCCTATCTCCTAGCTCGTGGGGGTTCACTGGCAATCTTTGGCATTCCTTGGCTATAGAAGCATCACCTGATCTCTGCCTTCATCTTATTTGCTATGTCTTTTCTGTGCCCAAATTTCCCCTTATAATAAGATACCAGTCATACTGAATTAGGGGTCCACTCTATTCTACTCCAGTATGACTTCATCTTATATTAGTTAATTACATCTATAATGAACTTATTCCCAAACAAGCTCACATTCTGAGGTACTGGCAGGTAAGACTTCAACATATGAATTTTTAGGGGACACAATTCAAAACGGCCCATCTTCATTCCTTTGTATGTGGATATGCAGTTGTTCCATTTTGCATATATGTGAAAATATTAGTAATAGAACTTCTTAGAAGTGGAATTCCTAGGTCAAGAGGTGGTATACATTTAATATTTTGAAAATATAAAGTTTTCTCTTTAGAGGTGTATAATTTATTCTCTATGCATATGAATGTCTATTTACCTCCTCTTATTAACACAGTGTTACCAAACTTTTTGGTATTTACCAGTCTTATAAGAGAAAAATAATATTTTATTGTACTTTTACTTTGCTTTTATTTCATTGAGAGAAATTAAATATCTTTTCATATGTTTAAGAGACATTGTTTTTTCTTCTCAGTGAATTGTGTATTCATCTCCTTAGCTCACTTTTTTTTTTCAATTGGGCTATTTTTCTTTGTTATTGATTTAAAGAGCTTTTTATATAGTAAGGATATTAGACCTTTATATGTTTATTTTTTGTCTCTTTGTTTCCTGTTTTTGTAATTCATACATATTTTATTTTATTATTATTTTTAATCCTCACTCAAGGATATGTTTTTTTTTATTGATTTTTAGAGAGGAAGAGAGATTGAACCTGCAACCTAAGTATGTCAATTGAACCCACAACCTTTTGGTATATGGTACAATGCTCCAACTAATTGAGCATGCATGTTTTATTTTTTTTATGCAGTAAGTGTATCAACTTTTTATGGCTTTAGGGTTGCAAAATATATTTAGAATGGCTTTCCTTCTCTAAAATTACATAAAAATTCTACCATGTTTTCTTCTAGTTTTATAACTATTTTTTTATGGTGAAATATCAACTTGGAATTTCTTTTGGTAAGGATGTGAGAAGAACACAGATTTAATTTTTTCAATATTTTTCACTTATTTCATTTACTAAATAAGAATCCATCTATTTTCACTTATGTAAATGCCATATTTATCATTTCTGATAGTCCTATACTTCTCTGGGTTTATTTCTGAACTCCCTATTCTGTTACATTGATCTGTCTGGCTATTCGTGATTTATTATTGCATGTTAATTATAGCTTTTAATAAGATATTTTAATGTCTGGCAGAAGACTTCTTTACTCTTATTTTTGAAATTTTATATTCTAGCAAGTGTTGTTTATTTTTTATTGAATTAAAATCAGCTTGTTTAATATAAATATAAAATCTTGCATTGATGCTTTGGTTTAATTTGGGAAGATATGTAACCATTCTGAGTTCACTCTTTCTACCCATTTATTTTAGTTTTCTCATTTAAGTTTTAATCTACCTGTTACGTTCCTCTATAGCATTTCAACATTTTCTTTATTATCTTGAATTTTTCTTATCAAGATTGTTTTCATCTATTGTTATCTTTTATGTTGCTATTTTAAATTATTTTTCTTTAATTTTATTCTCTAAATTTGAAATCTATTGTAGTCTTGCCCTGACTCTTCAGGGCAAGTTGATATATCTAGCTTCAGGGTGTATTTTCTCACAGTCACATTTTCTTGACAAGTTTTCTTCAGGTTGTGTTTCTCTTTCTCCGCTGACCTTCTCCGCTGGAGAAGATAAGCTTGCTCCTGCACCCACTCCCCGCCCTCAAGGGGTACATGTCCCTACTAGTATCTGGTGGCTTCACTGCCACTCTTGTATCCCCTTCTGGGGGGATGGCAGACCAGCATCATTGCTCTCATCAGTAAAGGGGACTTCTGTTTATCAGTGAGATCAAGGGCTGCTTCTCTAAATGGGAAAGTGGGCCATGATAGTGGTACGATTGGTGCCAGCCTCTTCTCACCAGTGTCTGCAGTGAGGGGACACGGGTTTCTGGGGTTGCTCTACAATGATCAGCGGAGAAATCCTGATGGCATTGGGTTGTGATGTCAGTCACTTCTACACCATCATGGAGACCAGAACCTATATGTATGGTATCAAATCACAAAAGCTGGAAGGGTGTTTGTTTTTTAAAAAAATATATATTTTATTGATTTTTTACATAGAGGAAGGGAGAGGGATAGAGAGTTAGAAACATCGATGAGAGAGAAGCATCGATCAGCTGCCTCCCGCACAACCCCTACTGGGGATGTGCCCGCAACCAAGGTACATGCCCTTAACTGGAATCGAACCTGGGATCTTTCAGTCCACAGTCCTATGCTCTATCCACTGAGCCAAACTGGCTAGGGCTGGAAGGGTTGTTTTTTAAAGATGAGGCAAGAGAGAACCAGTGAATGCAGGGGCAATACTCCAAATGATCTGCTTTAAGTGGCAGAGCAATCTGTGGCCCTGACTCTGGGCCCACTGCTCCTTCTGCCATGATGCTCTCTTATACTTGATAATTCCAGAAACAAATATGTTTTATAGGATTGGCAGGGACGATATTTAACAATCTAGGGCAGGAAGGGTTTTTCAGAGACCATCTACTTCCCTTCCCTGACCTGTGGCAGTATTGTAACTCCAGGCTGCATTTCTACCTCTCTTTCCCCTCTAGTCTCCATTGCTACTTCCCTATCCAGTATTTTATATATTTAATTTCACTCGTTTCTGCAATTTGAGAATGTATTTTGACTAAGGAGCTTCATATTTTAATTGTATTTATCTCTTGTGAATAATTAATTTTGTCTGTCTGTATGGCTCTATATCCCATATGAAAATGCTATATTTGTTACAGGAGGACTCTGGGCCACCGTCCGAGGCTCCGGTTTGGAAGATGTCAGCCTCGTTTTATTTGGATCTCAGTCTTGTGCCATCAATGTCACCACAAGCAATTCACGGAGAATTCAATGCCAAGTTCCACCCAGAGTAAGTAGAAATCTTTGGCATCTCCTTCTCTCTGTGTGGGTGACCTTTTCATCATGAGAGAATGCTTATGTTGTTTATATTGCCTGTTCTGCTATGAAGTGGGAAGCTGACTCCACCAATGGAGTCTTTTTCTTTATTTTTATTTTTTTTGAGTCTTTTTCTTTAAAAGAAGACAAAGAAGGAAGTCCCATGCTTAATAAGTATTAGTGCCACAATATAAATAAGTTCATCTAGTGAACATTCTGGGTGTTGTTTTTTAAAACTTATATATCGTGTAGTCTCAATTCTATCTTAAGCAAACAACAAAAAACTTAGTTTGCTCCAGCAATTTTGTTTTCTGGGCTAGATGTGAATGGTAGAATTTAGACACTTCTAGGCTATTTTGTTCCTATAAATCTTATAATATAAGACATCTTCTTAGTTATTTCCTACTGCTTCCTTTTTTCCTTAAAAACAAGTTCCTTAGCTTTCCCCTTTCCCCCCTTCAGTTAGTTCTCTCTCATAACCCTATTAAGAGCTTTGAGTCTAGGTCCTTCCCTGCTGCTTTTAGTGAGCGTCATGCTCACAGCTGAGGCTGAACTTCCTATTCAGAGTTGACTTCAGTGTCATCAACATTCCTAGCACATCCATGACCCCAAAAGATGACTGTGTTCTGAACAAATAAAGACCTCTAAAAGAGAGGGTTCAAAATAATCTTTGATCTCTGGTCCCACATTTTTATCTTATTCAGTTACTCAAATATTATGAAATGTTAGCTTTTATGTCTAAACTGAATGCAGTTCCAATACATGGTTGTATTATAATTTGTTTAACTATTCCTTATTAGTGGACATTAAGCTAATTTCCAAAATTTCCTATTTTAAACAACAGAGCTTTCATCATCCCATTAACTATAGTTTTGGCCATATTTACTTTTCTCAGGATATATAGCACCCAGTTGTCTGAAATTCCTTTTTAATTTATATTCTTACTATCACTGTATAAGTGTTTGATTTCTGGTGTTTGACTAACACTGGATTATCACTTTAATATATATTTACATTTTAATGGCTAAATTTTATACTGTTTGGATTTCTTTCACTAAAGAGAATAAACACTAAAAAACCCCACAACCCTTTTAATTTTGATCAAAGTAACACATGCAAAATTTAAAAAGAAAATAGTAAAACAATCATGCTCTCTTAGCATCTCTCACCCTTCTTCAAGTCCCCCCTTTCTGAAACAACCACTTTTAATTATTTTGAATATAGTTATAATACCATTACTTTTAAATCAATAATCCATGCTTACATTATTATAACTATTTAAATGAAGCTGTTAGAATCAGAAAAATTTTTTTTCTTATATAGTTAATTTTTTTTCCTTAGAGTTTTTTAGACATCTTCCTTGTAATAAAAATCCTTTATTTTAAGGAAAATATTCCATCATATCAGTTACTTTTTCTTTGAAGCTCTCTGTTTTTCTACTTCAAACAAACTTGATGTTGTTTAGATTTATTCTATAAATATTATCCTAGCACTTTTCTTTCTTTTTTTAAAAAAATATATCTTTATTGATTTCAGAGAGTAAGGAAGAGGAAGAGATAGAAGCATCAGTGATGAGAGAGAATCATTGATCGGCTGCCTCCCGCATGCCCTGCACTGGGGATTGAGCCTGCAACCCAAGCATGTGCTCTTGACCAGAATCGAACTTGGGACCCTTTAGTCCACAGGCCGATGCTCTATCCACTGATCCATACCAGCTAGGGCCCTAGCACTTTTCTTGATTGCAATCCTGTGTAGAGTCATTTCTTGGAGTACATATCTTTCTCTTTTTTGGCTATTGTTTATTCAATGAGGTCATAGCCTTAAGAAACATCCTAAGAAAGAATATGTCAGAGGGAAGTTTTCTGAGTACTTACATGTGTAAAAATATTCTCACACTTGATGGATAGTTTAGCTAGGTATGGGTGTTTATTTGAGATTGCCATTTTCTTGCAGATCAAATTCGTGTGTTAATTGAAAATAATTATTATTTATTCTTTAATTAGTTGGATGCTTCACGTGTCCATTATAAGTACTTGTCACTGTGTGCAAGTGCATGAGAGACTTGAAAACAGCAAAATATTCTTTAAAAATAATTTTCATGAAATAACTTTTTAAATTAATTCTATATGAACTTCTCTCAAGTCAGTCTTATTTAAAGAAGTTTAATTTTAAAAATTGTTTTTTCAGGGGAAAGACGGATCCATTGTGAATGTGACGGTGATCAGAGGGGACCATTCTGCAGTTCTTTCCATGGCATTTACATATGTTCCTTCTTTAAATCCAGTGATCATGTCTCTGAGCAGAAACAAAAGTAACATAGCAGGTAAAATACATGATATGGAAGAATCTTTTATTATTAGGTCTTTAATCCCATAAAAAGGAAAACAATGGCTTATACATTTTTAAAAAAATATATTTTATTGATGTTTTTACAGAGAGGAAGGGAGAGGGATAGAGAATTAGAAACATCGATCAGCTGCCTCCTGCACACTCACTACTGAGGTTGTGCCCGCAACCAAGGTACATGCCCTTGACTGGAATTGAACCTGGGACCCTTGAGTCCGCAGGCTGACTCTCTATCCACTGAGCCAAACCGGTTAGGGCGGCTTATACATTTTATTGAGCTTTGTTTAGTGTTACTACTAGAGGCCCGATGCACAAAATTCGTGCAAGCGTAGGCCTTCGCAGCCCTGGCTGCCTAGGCCCTCACAGCCCTGGCCTCATCTGGAAGGTCATCCAGATGGTCATTCTGCTGTTTGGCTGTTTGGTCGATTTGCATATTATGCTTTTATTGTTATAGGCTAGGGGCCCAGTGGATGAATTTGTGCATCTTGAAAGGAACTGTGGGCCGCGAGGCTACGGTAGACACAGGGACAGGTCTCGGCCCATCCTCCACGCCCCCACCTGGCCCCTCCTGCCGCGGCCCCCAGTCCCCTATCTGCTGGCAGCGGCGCTGGCCCCGCTCGCACCTGCTGTTGGCACGGAGAGATTGGGGCCGGCGCCAGCAGCGGGTGTGAGTGGGGCTGGCGCTGTCAGCAGTTCGAGCGGTGGCTGCTGCCCCAATCGTCCCTCAGGAGCAGGGGGAGGTGGAGAAGCCCTCAGGGGTGATCAGGGCCGGCAGCCGCCGCTTGCACCCGCTGATGGCGCTGAGTGATTGGGACCGGCGCTGAGCTCCAGCAGCAGGTGCGAGCAGGGCCGGCGCCAGCAGCAGGTGCGAGTGCTGGGCAGGACCGTGCTGGGTGGGACCGCGGTGCACGGAAGCAAAGAATTTTAAGTAACCACCAGAGACTCGCCCCAATGACAGTGACTGGCGCCCCACCTTGTCTGGTGCCCCCGCTCACCTTCTGCACCATCCCACCGTGGCCAATGCCTGCCATGTTTCGCACACATCCCCTGGTGGTCAGTGCATGTCATAGCAACTGGTTGTTTGGTTGTTCCGCCATTTGGTCTATTTGCATATTAGCCTTTTATTATATAGGATATTTGGTATGGAAGTTACTTTTCTGAAAACTAGGAGACTGGTATTCTCATTTTAGTCATCATTGAATAAATCTCCTTATATATATTTTCATTCTGTAAAATTGTGAACATTTCCAATATGATAATGACATGGGAATTTAGAAGTGACAATTCAATAAATATTTATTGAGCACCTATTATGTGTCGATAGCACAGACATATAGCAGATTTTACTTACTGTCACTAATTTACACAATTATTAGCCTCCATTTATTGGAAAGGAAATGAAGGAACAAAAAGAATAAGTAACTTGTCTATGATGTCATCTTTAGTAAGTAAAAGAGCTGGGATTTGAACCAAGCTGTCTGGTTGCAGATTCCAAGCAGTTAGCCACTTATATAATTTACTATAAAATACTGTTTTGGGTGTCATATTCTATTATAGCAGTTATTTGATATGATTAAAGAATAGGGTATTCTGATTAGCCAAGAATTCTTGTTCATTGATACATACTATATATAAAAAGAATGAATTCTTTAGCACACAACAATAATAAGCAATTTCATCTTTCTTTGGTAATTCAGATGACAGGATAGAAATATAATAATTTATTATCATGTCAGACCATATAGATTTGGGAAAGTACAGGTAACACACCTTTCTGGTTAATGGAATGCCAGGTACTAGAAGGTTTATGGCAGCCATATATGTGTATTATAAAAGACCATCAAATATACCCCTGCTCCCCTAAAAAATGCCTGAAATCAATTTTTTTCTGGTACTATTTTCATTTTCCATTGCTCAAGAGTTCATAAATAAAGGGAAGTGTCCTTTAGCTCTCAATATTATTCAGCTCAGATAGTGCAGAAGAAGAATTTGCTGCCTCAGGCCACCAAAGTGCGTAAAATTCTTTAGTGGTATAGATTCTTCCCAAGGAAGTAGAAAAGGGAGGAGGGAGCTTTGTGTTCTATTCAGATTTCAGTGATTTTGGCTTTTAATAAAATTTCCTACCTATAATGAAAAGAATAAATACATTGCATCAGTGCCTGAAAGGCATCTAGGATTAGCTTGACAATTGACCAGGAGCCCAAGGAGTTCTTGTTATTGATATATACAACATGATGTGTTCTTTGCAGAATTTGCACTTGCATTCAAATTTTTCTACAGGCAGTAAAAGAAACATGTTATAAAATCCACAAAGAGTGTTAATCTGTTGGGAAGGTCTCTTTGAAAGTTGGAGTGTGACATATCTTCATCCAGGAGATGATTATGTTGATGGTGACATTGAAGCCAAGATGAAATCAAAGAAAGAGGGGTGGGGATGGGGCCAGATAATTTGATGTAGAGGACCACTAGGGTGGATTTATCATCAGTCAGCTCTAGATATGAATGAATCCCAGTTCAACCACTCCATGGGCAAGATATTTAACTTCCTTTACCTTTAGTTCCTTTAATTGTTAGGTGGGAATAATTCTTTCAAATTTATTATAAAGTTGGAGTAAAGTAGGTAAAAGTCCCTAGTCCAGGAGCTGACATGGAGTAAGTACTCAAATGCTTTGTTAAAGAGAATGCCATCATTCTGCCAGATATTGTGTTATATTCATGAGCCAAAGATGACCTCTGCATATTGGTCCTATGTTGTTTACTTTTTCACAGCAGGTTGGGAGCCATTAGTTCAAGACTGCCAATGTCAAACCCAAATTTTTACATACCCAGTTATTTTCAGTACTAGAGGCCCAGCCTCCCCCTGTGTGAGGAGGCACCCTGGGGGCTGCCGCAGGAGTCAGGCCAGACCCGAGCCTGACTTCTGCCCCAGGCCTTCCCGGCCCGCCCCTGCCTGTGTCCTCTCCTGGCCGCTGGAGCCGCTGCGCCGGCTTGGGCAGGCCCCCCTGTGTCTGTCCGCTCCGGGCCTCACCTGCGCGCTCAACCTCCTTCTGTTTGGTCGTGACCCGTTATGGCATCCTGGCCTAATTTGCATAATATATATATATATATATAAAACCCCAAAGTAGTTTTTTAGCTTTTTAGAGCCAGCCTACCTCACTCTATAAAATTACACACAACATAACCACTGACGCCCTTAGGAGCTCTTTGACCCAAAGACTTCCCACCACACTGCTGAGTGACATCATGTAGACACATAAACCCCTTTCTGATCACCCTTTCCCCCTGGACTTCCCTTGCCGTCCTCCCCTTCTGGCTGGTGTTCCCTTATTATTGCCTCTGAGATTTCTGCATTTATGTGACCCTGTCAAAGCACCACCCATATAAAACTCATTTTTCTGTGCTCTGCCACCTTGTGGTCATGTCTTTTTTCTTTGTCAACCCTGAAATTCCTTGAACTCACTATATTGAGGCTTTAGACTTCACAGTATAAACAAAGCTGGGGAGATATGAAGAAGTAAAGAGGATGTGGATGAAGTTAACCGAGGGCTTTTGAATACTGTACTATACCAGTCCTGGGACATCTAATTTAATCCTTACAACAGACAACATGGGATGGCTCCGTTACTATCTTAATGATGAAACATCCAAGGCTTTGAGAGCCCGAAGTGAGTCACACAGGCGGTTAAATGGAAGAGCAAGGCTTTAAATACTCAACAAGCCACAACCCCTCCTCTTTGCCATTTCTCTTTCAAGTAAATGTCCTCCTCTAATTGGCTGTGGTGTCCTACAGATGCCAGCCCTATAGTAGTTCTCAAACTTTAGCAGCTCAAGGAGCTTAAGAGATGCTTTCTTTAGCTCTAGCTGTGTCTCTGTGGACACACCAAGATGTGGGAAAGGCATATTTATTTATTTTCCCTCCTGCCACTGTATGCTTGATTTCTAGCTTTTGTTGACTCCAGTTGTCTGAGGAGTGGGTTTCCCCTCCCCTGTCTTTTTAACTGATCTTATAAATTGGAATAATAGCTTTAATCATATTCTTTCTTTGCATAGAAAACTGTGGAGGCCTCTACTGTCCAATGGATTAAGTAGAGAACCCTCAGGATAGGCTTTATCTTCAGCCATAAAACCACCGTCAACTTGGCCTACCCTAGTAGAGTCCCTAACTGTACATACACACATCTGGTCTTCCAGAAAGTCACCCACATCTCATTCCTTCTCTCACAGCCACTGGGTAATGGCATGTGAAAGTGTTACAAAGACTTGGAGTAAACTTGTGGAGTTTTCAGAATTGAATTGTAAATCCCCTCTTGTTTATATTGGCCTCTTGGGATTTAGCTTTCAAATTGAATTTCAAGCACTCTCTTGCCCATGAGGCCTTTCTTGATACTTTGAACACTGACCTCACTTGAACAACCCACTGCTTAATTGTCACCTCTGGATGGTAGGTGATACAACCGAGGTTCTTTTGGCACCTATTTTCCCATCTTTGAGGGCTTTTTGAGGGCAGGGTCTATGTGCAACTTATTTTTGTGCCCCTGTGACATGTTAATCTTGGTACTCAATGATATTTGAAGTAAAAGGCATTGAATTAGTGTGTCCATAATATACAGAGCATTTTGGTAGAGTTGCTAATTAAACTAAATGCATCTAAATGTAAGAAGACTGGGCTCAGGCCTTGACATTTCTATTAATTAAGCATGAAACCTTGGTTGCTGAACCTTAGTTTCCTCAAAAGCTAAGTGCCAGTCCTACTAACAGCTCCATATATCTCATCAGGATAGTGTGAGGATCAAATGGGATAACACACGTGAAAATGCTCTGTGAACTGTAAGTACTGTACTCACATACAGCATTAGTATGAGGTCCAGGGCACACTAAAGATACAGCTTTAGACTTCTATCAGTGGAAAAGTGGAAGTTAAAAAAAAAGACATAGGGTACTATTTGTTGGTTATGAAGGCCATCCACCCGCCAAACTATTTCTCGATTTGCCTCTGCGTGAAGATAAGTTTGCCTCTTGAGTACAATTGTCCTGACAACTTTGAGATTATACCTTTAGCTCTATAAAAGAATTGTTAGAAGTTTAATGAAAAAAATTAGGTTGGCATTAAAACTCTTTAATTGTGGTACGATGCACAGGGCTGACCATGTATTGAATAATAAAAGACAATTTTAGAATTGAAGAGGTGGTTGAGGACACAGAACCATATCACAGGGGCTAAGGAATGCTTTTCATACAGGAGGTGAGACCCTTTTCATCAGCGTGGCGCTGCCGGTGGACTACTTGGATTTGCGTGTGGAAGTCCACATCCAGGATTCCTTGGCTCAGGTTCATGCGGAGACTGCCCAGGGCCTGGAGGTGGTGCTGCCCCCGCTGCCAGCTGGCCTCCACAGAATCTCAGTCTCCATCAACGGGGTCAGCATTCGTGCACAAGGGTGAGGTCAACACTTGCCATTAATTTTAGGTCTGTTTGATGGTCTAGTGATTTAGTTGAGGAATTCTAGTTTTGAGTTAGGACTTTAATTTTTATTCTTCCAAAGTTGGGAAATAAACACATGAGAATCATAAAATTTGAAAAAATCTTAGAAACCTTACAGGAGAGTTCACTCTCAAGACCAATTCAGGGAAAACTTTTGGCTTACTAGTTTGGGAGCAGAGAACTTTCTGGAACTAAGATATCATGGCTCTTAGGAGGGGTGGGCATCTATATAGGAAGGAAGAAGATCCTCTGCTTTAATAAAGATGTGTATTTAACTAAGACCTTTAATAAGATTATGTCTTGGGCTTTGAATACATGGCTTATAATTATTACACAAGCCATATTCATATCCACTGTGCCCTGAAGTCCCTCTGCTCAGTATTTCTCCAGAAGTTCTGTCTCCTCATTCCAGGAAGTTAGCTAAACTGCATGGGACTGATGTCACCACATGATACTGGCCCAGGAAAATGTCCCACCAAACATCTTTTCCCTACCATTTCTTTACTTCACTGTTAGGCAATGTATTCACACTTGCTCTCCATCACCGCTCTCTTCTCTTCCAAATACATACACCGCTTCTGTCCTGCTCCTTCCTTTCTAAGTCCTTTTCTAAGCCTCTCAGTTATTTCATAGCAGTCTCCCATTTTCTTCTGTAGCGTGGATCTTCACATCCAGTACATCACAGAAGTTTTCAGCATCGAGCCTTGCTGTGGGTCCCTCCTGGGTGAGTGGCTGTGACATGACGGGTACCATTTATCCAGAGTGTATAACTCACTGGATACTCAGATTTCATTCCTGAATTCATTAACCAGTGAGATTAGAAATGAGCAACAGGGAGAGGAGTTTTCCCTGTGCTCCAGGAACTGGGTGTGGTATACTATGAAGGCTGTGAAAACTCAGGATATCCTTATCTCAGCAAGCTCAGGAAATTGAAGAATTTTTATGAAAAGGAGATGTGCCTGGCTTTTCCTAATAGAAAGAGGATAAAACATCTAATGGGTAGCACGTCCCGAGTGGATATTAGACAAATAAGGCAATAGCTTCCTGCATTCATCCTTTAGATCCTGCACATATAAGGAGAAGAGGCATGAGGTTTGGTGTCTTCACTTTTATCTAGGGATGCAAATGAAAGTAGCCAGAAACACAAATCCCAACATGGGAGATATGAGGAAAGGCAAACAGAGAAACCTAGGAAATTATTTCCCCCCCAAAATGGAAAGCTATATGTGTATATGTAAATAATCATTGTAATAGTGTATGAAATAGCACATTATCCTTTTTGAGTATAGTAAAATCCTTTTAAAAGCTACTGGGCTACTAGTATACTACAGATTTGGTAATGATATGGGGTGTATTGCTCCAACTCCTATCCTGAAGATGGTTTGATTGTCCCTCAGCTGGAGTGCAAGATGAAGTCTATAAATATAGCAGTAAATTCACAAGAATGTTCAGTGGCTCTTGATATGTCACACACACACACATACAACCATATTATATATGGAATACTGAAATATTATATAGGATAATATAGATGGTAAACAGAAGACTTCAAAAGATTTGATTTTTTCATTATTGTGTAAGTTGAATATATAGAATTCAACTTACACAATAATGCATATACTTCACAAAACAACATATAGAATAATATGAAATAATGTCAGATGATAAACTAAGGAATTTGTTTTTCATTAATATATCAATTGTATCTAGATTTATATAAAATATACATACACTCACTCTACATAATATAATATAGACTAACATGTCAGATAATATAGCAGATGACAAGAACACTTTAAGAAATTTGATTTTTTTAGTAGTGTATAAGTTGATAGAAGTGGTGGCTTCTAGGATGGTATCAATATACTTGAAAATGCTGTCTTAAATATTAAAACATTCTTCCTTTATAACAGTTTATATTGTTTTACTGTGTGTGAATTTCAGCCCATCTGATTCCTGCAAAAATGAATTTAACATTGATGAATTCACAAATTTAACATTGATGGGGTGAGGCGGTATCATTGAGGTGTCACTAACACCCCACCCTCCAGTTAATCGCTCCGGGGCTTACATGAGTGTTGTGAGTTCCTGGTTCTGAATATCAGCCTTAATATTTTGTTTTTGGTATTCACGCTTTAGGTGGAACCATCCTCACCATCGCAGGAGCAGGGTTCAGCAGGGACCCAGCTTTAATTTGGGTGCTTGTGGGCAATCGGTCCTGTGACATTGTGAACTTAACAGAGACAAACATCTGGTGTGAGACGCCCACCGTCCTGCCACCTGAGGCAGACGTCCTCACTGTCCCAGCCCCCGTGGAGGTCTGGACTGGCAACAGGTCCTTCACCCAGGCACCTGGACCACACCTGGTGGGCAAGGGCTTCACCTTCACGTACGCGGTGGCAACAACGCCAGTGGTCACTGCCGTGCGAGGAGAATTCACAAACAGCAGCCTGAGCCTCTACGTGGAAGGAAATAACCTCTCCAACTCAGTGATGCTTCTGGGGGACTTGAACTGCGACCTAGAGACACAGTCTTTCGGGAACAACGTGAGCCTGTCCGGGTGCTCCTTTCCTCTCCACGGTTTGGAGGCCGGTGCCTATCCCCTTCAAGTACGTCACAAGCAGATGGGCTTTGCTAACATGTCTGCGGTGCCCCAGCAATTTGTGGTGACACCGCAGATAATGGCCATCTCGCCAGCCAAGGGTTCTGCTTGTGGTGGGACGGTACTCACGGTGAGCGGGTTGGCTCTCAACTCCAGGAGGAAGTTGGTTCAGGTGGACCTTTCGGGTCCCGTTACTTGTGCGACTTTGAGCTTGGGGGACCAGACAATCCTGTGCCAGGTTGACCTGCTGGGTGACTCCTTGTCTGGTGCTTCCTTCACCCTGAACGTCTCAGTCCTGGTCAATGGGCTCCCCAGCGAGTGCCAGGGTAATTGCACCCTTTCCTTGAGGGAAGAGACAACTCCTGTCGTGGATGCCTTGACCACTAACATCAGTGGGTCTCTGACTTCAGTGCTGATTAGAGGTCAGAGGTTAGGCACCACAGCCGATGAGCCAGTGGTGTATTTGGATGATCATCTTCCTTGTATTGTAACCTTCTTTAATGCAAGCCACATCACATGCTGGATAAGTGACTTGAGCCCGGGACTCCACTACCTATCAGTTGTTCATTCAAGAAATGGGTATGCTTGTTCTGGTAACGTTTCCAGACACTTCTCTATTTTGCCTCAGGTGTTGGATTATTTCCCCAAGAATTTCAGCACACATGGCGGAGGCCTTTTGACCTTAGAGGGCACCGCCCTAAGAGGGCTGAACTGCACGTTGGTCTACATTGGGCAGCGGGCCTGCCTGACGGTGACCATCAGCGCGGAGCTCATCCGGTGCATTGTTCCTGCAGGGAATGGCTCTGCTGTCCTGGACATAGAGGTGGATGGACGTTCGTACCAGATGGGAGTCATTGATTATAGCAGCACCTTCACCCCGGAATTGCTCTCTGTTTCTCACACTGGTGACGTCTTAACCTTTGTGGTGGCCCGGATCTCAGGAGCTGAGAACGTTGACATTTTTATCGGGGTGTCACCCTGTGTGGGTGTCTCTGGCAACTGCACGGTTCTCCAGTGCGTGGTCCCAGTCCTTGCTGCCGGGGAGTACCAAGTCAGAGGTTATGACCACATAAGAGGGTGGGCCTCATCCGTCCTGGTGTTCACATCGAGAGTTACTGTCACGGCAGTGGCTGAGAGCTTTGGTAAGCCAAGCAAATAAGACAGAATGCTTTCTTTATGTAAGTGGATTAATTGCTGCTCTAAGAGGTAGGAGACAACATCGACCTGAATGACAGAAGGAGAGAGAAGCCTGATTGGCCTCTTACAGTCCCAGTTTCCTCCGAAAGCTGCATGTGTGAGGTTATATTTTTCATCCAAAAAATTGTGCCTATTCTCTAAGTGTGTGATTGTATTTTAATTGGATGCTTTTACACAATTGAATTTGTGTGTTAAATTAAATAATACCATTTATAAGAGCTCATAATTTGATCTTTTAAGTAGAACATAAATGCCTATGTGTCAATTTGAATTATTTTAAACTTATTAAATGTGATTAATTTTTAGCATTTTATATATTTTACAGATGAATCAATACTCCACTAATAATAGGCCAACTGCCTACTATGATTGCATTGGTTGAACTTTTTTCTCCTTTTAGATTAACTGAAGTTTGCCTTGCCTTTTCTTCTAAGGATGGTTTCGGCTTCTGTTCACGTAAAGCCTTAATGCACTTGGGATAGCTCGAATTTGATTGGGCTGCAGAAAGTATAGAGGAAATTGTGGGAGCTGAAACTTTGACTGATGCAGTACTAGCAAGCCTTTTCTTAGAACAAATTTGTCTGGCTTCATCTGGGTGGGATGCTATGGGGATTGGGATTTTGATTCCTAGTATGTCAGTAACTTAGCTGGGCAACCTTCTAAGCTTCAGCTTCCTTATTTGATAAAGGGATTTGGGTTGGATGCTCCCTGGTTCCCCTTTCTTCTCTCTAAGATTCCATGATATTTATAGCGAGAAAGCAGAGGTATGAAAGGCATGATAAGCAAAGTGTTGTTCTTGAGTTTACCAGGTGGCTGTGTAAGTACCACCTAGGCTTGCTATGAAGGCAGTAGAAACTCGAACTGTTTCTCAGTGTGGACTATCCATTGCACGTGTCTGAGAGTCCTGGTGACATTTACCTTTATTGCTTCTCAAACTGAAGCAAAACGTGTCTGTTAACAATTGTCATACTTTTACCCATTAGAGACAGGCACTGTCATACAGTGCTGTAGAAGTGTAAACTTATGCAACATTATTTTGGAGAAAAATATGGGAATATCCATTAAAACTAAAAACTTACGTTTCCTCTGACATAGAAATTCCACTTCTAAGAATTTGCAATAATTTTATTTAAATAAGTGTACTGTTCATTGCAGCACATGAATTATAGCAAGAGAGGATAAATAATGGAAGTATCAATCAATAGGAAGATTGCTGAATAAATTATGGCATAATCATATGATGAAATTCTAGATAGCTATTAAAGTGATGAGTTAAGTCCTTATATATAAACTTGGAAAAATGTCTATGCTATTCCTTTATAAAACAGGTTATATAAAAATATGTATAGAAAGATCCTTTGAATAAAAAATATGCTTAGAAAATTCTGGAAGGATTCACAAGAAACTCTATACATAGCTACTTCTAGTGAGTGAGGTGATTAGGGAAACTTTTACTTTATTTTTTATACTTTTTTGTATAAAAATTAAAGAACTATAAAGAAGCATTACTGCCCTAGCCGGTTTGGCTCAGTGGATAGAGCATCGGCTTATGGATGGAAGGTCCCGGGTTCGATTCCGGTCAAGGGCACATATCTCCGTTGCAGTCTCAATCCCTGGCCCTGGTCGGGGTGCATGTGGGAGGAAACATTACACATCAATGTTTCTATCTCTCCCCTTCCTTTCCACTCCTAAAAATCAATGGAAAAATATCCTCGGGTGAAGATTAACAACAACAACAAAAACAACAACAACAACAAAAGAAGCTATATGAAAATTATTACATTTTTATAAGTTGTTGACTATGATTGGGGTCAGACAGACAAGGACTCTGGCTTAGTGAAAATAAGCTGAGGGAGGCTGTCAGGGCCCGAAGCCAGCTGTGTGGGTTCTGGGGGGTGTAAAAAGAGTGACGGGCAGCAAGGAAGTGTGAATTTGAATTGCGAGTTAAGTAAAGAAAGAGATCTCCCTCTATGATCGTGCATTTGTGCTTGTGTTTTGAAGGCTGCCTGGGTGGACGGCTTGTGCATGTGTTTGGAGCAGGATTTTCTCCAGGGAACATCTCAGCTGCCGTGTGTGGTGCTCCCTGCCAAGTCCTGGCTAACGCTACAGTGTCTGCCTTCAGCTGCTTGGTTCTTCCCCTGGATGGTCAGTAAAATGCCGTATGTTTTTAAGAGAGTATATATGAGAATGATATTCTTTGGTTAGCCCCATTTTTGTGATTAACGCTGTGTGCACCTCTAATTTTTCTGTATTCCTGGGAAAAGAATTTCTCTACTTCCCATCTAAAATGGTAGCTAGAATCAAGGACCTTGTATTAAAATGGTTCATAGTAAGTTTTGTCATATTAATGGCAACAAAAATTGATCACCTATGTTCTCGATTGCAGTCATACGATGATGGAGAAAGTAATTTGGAGTTCTAAATATTGGTTTCAATGACAGCCTTAAGTATCATGGAGAAAACAATCTCTTGTTCTCTGTCCGGGGTGGGGCTGTTAAAAACATCTGGTTATTCCAGGTACTAGAGAAGGGATCAGATCATCAAGCTATTTCTTGCATATTTGCCTAATGGCTGAGTTCTTGAATTCTTATTATAGGCAAAAGAGCCAACATTAACATCATCCTCTTATTCTGCAATGTTCAGGTAATTACTTGGGCCCTTACTCAGTAAAACATCATGATCTCTCACTGCTTTAAGCTTCTTGGGAAGGTGCAAAGCTTTGATAGTCCCATGATAGGGCTTTACAACACAGGGTATTTACCCACTAAGCTTTACAAAAAAAAAAAAAAAGGCAAAGGGAAGAAATTGCCATTGTCACTACAGGAATAGCTTAGCCAGATGATTATCTTATTTGCGTAATCATAGCTATTGTACCTATGAATTGAAAAGCCATTTTACACCTGCTCTCTGTATAGTGCTGTAAGTTACATTCCTAGCAAGTGTCTGTACCTTGAATGCCATGCAGGTTTTACAAAGCATCGTTTCATCTGAGCTTGAGAAAAAATTCTAAGATGGATAATATTGTGATGCCGGTTTGCATTGGGTTGTCTTACACAAGAAGGAGGAAGAGGAGCAGGAAAAAAGAAAAGAAGAAGCCATTCTTACTTAAAATGCTAGAAATTGAGTTTCTATATCATCATATAGTATATAAGCAGAACGTTGTGGAGGAGACCTATGCTACTTAAAATTCTACAGTAGGAAGCCAAATAAATTTAATTCCACAGTGGGAAACTTAAGATACAGTAAAAGATTTAAGTTTACGATGTTTTCTGTTTCATTTTTCACTCTACCTTCTATGTATAGAATAGTGCTGGCACAGTGTGTGTGCAAAATCAATGCTTGATAAAGGAATAAATGAAGGAATTAAGAAACCATGGGAACAGATAATCAGGACTCCACATTTTTAGGTTTTAATATTTAATAATAATGCTAATTTTTAAAAAAAAGACTTTCATATATACACTGCTTAAATTAATTAACTTTTTAAAGCCCTGTGGCATTATTTAAAGACATTTGATTTCAACTAGAAGTCCAAGATAAAAACCACCGAGGTTACAGGGTCAGGTAAATTGTGGTATTGAAAGTGTGACAACTCCTACAGGAGAAATAATAGAAATTATTTTTATTTTAAAAGATTTAATGAAGTTAGAAAAGGACTTAACATTCTGTATTTTTAAAAGAGGGAAACGAGTTGGAAGCTGTAACTCTTATCATTGTCACTAGGTGTCACCAAACACTCATTGATTGTGCAGGAGCTGCTAATTTACTCTAGGGAAATGGATTTACTTCTTTCATGAAAAGAAAAAGAAAAGTTAAAAAAAAACAACAACTCTTAATGACAGTATCCAAAGATGGAGAGGAACTCATAAAAACCAACTCCACTGGTTATTTACTTGAGATCCAGTGTGGTATTTGGGGATTCTATCAACTCCCTGAAACTGGTGAAAACATTTTGAGTATATGATTGTGTATATTTTTTCCTATGCAAATAGGTCTATAATGGACATAAAATAGTCAATGGGAGTGTCTCTCACAAATTATTAGAAGCTACTAATAATTTCTCTACTTGCAGATAAGATTGCTTGTAATCAATCATTTTATATTTGTTATATAAACTTAAGTTATATTAAAAAATTTTGTAGAGGACTATTTCACAAGCAGCTATGATGTGCACTGACCACTAGGGGGCAGATGCTCCAATCGGTAGGTTAGCTTGCTGCTGGGGTCTGGACCATCGGGACTGGGTGAGATGGGGCCGGACATGCCCTGGAGCCCTCACGCAGCCCCTTCCACAGTCCCTCCCCAGCCATCAGCCCGATGGCCCCGATCTCAGCCAGGTGGAGGGACCCCACCCACGCACGAATTCGTGCACCAGGCCTTTAGATGAGAATAATAACATTGCTATTGTTTTTGCTAGAGCAGTAACAGCAGCATCACCTGGGAATTTGTTAGAAATGCAAATTCATGAAACCTACTGGATTTGAAACATTCCAACAAGTAGATATTTTGGTATTTCACTTCTGAGCTCCCTCTGAATTCTGACATTCTTTCCTAATTTGAAGCTCCAAACTAGGTAACTCCTCTGTGTAAGCAAGTTCTGACAATATTGGGTAGCATCATAAGATGCCTACATATAATCTGGTCTCATATTTGTTTTAAAAATTACACTGCTGCTTTGCTGGTTTATAATCTCTCTGTTACTATTATTCCAATGTGTGTGTTTTTTTTCTTTCTTTGTAACATAACTGTGCACAGCTGGAATTTCCTCATCTTATATTTATATAATTTCTTTTTTCCCCCTGTGGTTTACTGCCTTACTATTTTCATTTAGTCTTTTTGTTTATTTCTCTTAACTTCTCTAATTTGCTAAGGTCACTTTGAATTCTGACCCTTGCTTTGAGTTCTGTTTCTTAGTTTGACTTTGCATAATGAAGAAAGCAATGTTTCAGATTCTGGGATGCAGATGATGGCTTAGAACCCAAACTTTCCTAATTATTGTTTTGCTTATTCTGATACCACAGCACAAATGTGTTTTCTTTTCATCAGTAGAGCAGGGGGTTTAAAGGTGCCGCTCTAAAAAGGTGTTTTTGTTTTTTTGTTGCTACTTTTGGTATTCTCTCTCTTTGCCTTTCTCCCAAACTGTGCTTCTAACATAAAAAGAATTTTATTTTGTTCATGTGATGGGCTTCTAAAACATCTTGTCAGGTGAAACTGGTACTTTGTATTTATAAAATCAGCAAGATGTTTGATCTTTGGCTTTTTTGCTCTTCTACCTTGAATTATACTACATGATGTTTTCATGGAAACTTCAACTTTTCCATGAGGCAGGAAAAGCTAAAGTGATTAAGGTTACACCACTATTTAGTGGCCGAACCTTGAGTAAAATCCATGGATTCTGATCCCAGCCCTGGGTAACTTTTCATCATCCACCTTGTCAATTTACATCCACCTAATCACCCATAATGAGTTCATTATTTTATAGGTGTTGAACCTGTTTTTATTTGCCCTAGGGCTTACTAACTGGAAGTTCTCATGTTTCCTCTACCCATAGGAGTCTTACTAGTACTTGCCAGCCATTTTAATGGCTATGATTCATTCAGGACACATTCACAGACAATCTGGCGGATGCTTTGGAATATAAGAGCAACAATAATAATATGTGCATGTGATTGCATAAGTGCAAACCCTCTCACATGGACTTATCTCATTTGTCCCTGTTTCATGCAGCAGTGTGCTGGAGACAGGGCTCAGGTTCAAACCCACAGTTCCTGATAACATTTGTCATGTACGTGCATGAACAGGCTACCCGTAGAGGTAGAAGGCTAGAGAAAAATTTTCTTCTCTATTTCATTCAGGTTTTTAGATAGAGCTGCTCCAAAACCATCTTGTGTAGAGATTAATTAATCTTCCTGTTTAAGGTTATTGCCAGTCTGCCTTGTTTTTTTTTGTATATTTTTATTATTGATTTTTTTACAGAGAGGAAGGGAGAGGGATAGAGAGTTAGAAACATCGATGAGAGAGAAACATCAATCAGCTGCCTCCTGCACACTCCCTACTGGGGATGTGCCCGCAACCAAAGTACATGCCCTTGACCGGAATCGAACCCGGGACCCTTGAGTCCGCAGGCCGACGCTCTATCCACTGAGCAAAACTGGCTAGGGCACAGTCTGCCTTGTTGATGCTATAAACATTGTGTCTTATCACCTGGAAAGAAATGGCCTAGGGGTCAAAGGGCTTCGAATAATTGCTTTTCTTCTTTATAAAAGGTTAATAGTCATAATTATAGGAAAATCAAGGACTTCTTTTAATAAAGATATCCCATAGAGAGAATGAAAAGTTTAGCCACAAACCTGAAGAAGATATCAATAGCCATATAACCTCCATAGGTTTAGTACTCAGAATATATAAAGAACACAAATTAATAAGAAAAGATAAACATTCCAATAGAGAAAAGGACAAATGACAGAAATAGGAGTTTTGTAGAAGAGAAAACATGTTGTTACTAAACTTGTAAAAATTGATAAAAAAATTGATAAAAATGCAATTTAAGGCTGCAATGAGGTGCCATTATACACTCACTGGGCTGGCCAAAATTAAGAGTTTGATAATCCCAAGTGCTGACAATTATGTGGAGTAGCAGGAACTCAAAATTATTGCTGGTAGGAATGTAACATGACACAACCACTTTGAAAACAATGTGGCTCTATCTTGTAAAGTTGAACTTGCACCTACCTTATAAACAAGCAATTTGAAGGCATATACCCCAGAAAAAACTTTGTAATGTTTGTAGAAGCAAAGACTAGGAAATATCCAAAAGTCTATTAGTAAGAGAAATGAAAACCATATTATATATTCACACAGTATAGTATTGAACAGCAGTGAAAATGTATGGACAAGGTCGATGGGGGGAAAAGGAGACATATGTAATACTTATAAAGAATTTTAAAAAAGAAAAGAAAGTATGGACAACATTTACATGTGATAATATAAATAAATCTGGAAGTATAATACTGAGTGAAAAAATTAGGTCCAAGAATACTATGTCACATATTCTATTTTATAAAATTCAAAAACAGGTATAACCCAGTAATCTTTTGTTCGGGAATATAAAGCCACGTGAGAAAACTGTTTTAAAAACGCAAGTGGTTGTTTCTGAGAATGAAGAGGAAGAGGGTGGACTTGGTGAGGAGCATCCAGATTTGAGAGTATCACAACTCTTTTAGATTTTGTGTTGGCTGGCAATTCACATGAATTTTTCTTATGTTGTTTCATATTTTATGAAAAGTTTTACTTATATTATTCTGTGTGTATTATGTACACATAATACATTTTTAAAGAAGTAAACTGATTATTTTCCTACTCGTTAAAGGACAACACATGAACTTCATTTACGTAACCATGTGAGGCCTCCAGTTCTTTCCGTGGTTCTTACCTAACCTAACGGTGACCATTTCCTGCAGTGTCCCTGGCTTCCCTGTGTGACCTGAAGCATGAGCAGGAGAGCTGTGAAGCTGCCAGTCACACCTACGTGCAGTGTGATTTGACTGTCACTGTGGGGGCAGAGAGACTGCCCGAATCATGGCCTTACCTCTACATTTGTGAAGAAAGTTCCCAATGCCACTGGACAGAATCAGCCTTTCCATTGTTCTCAGGCCTCTTCGTCAGGTAACCCTGTGCTCTCCCTCCCCGACCTTCCCCACGAATGCATGGCCAATGGACTGATGAGGCATCAGAGACTGCAGGCTGGGTGGAGGTGGCTCTGGGGCCCCAGCACTCTTGTTAGAGGAACTGTTCCATTGTGGATTCCAGTCTGCATATCAAAGCATCTCCTGTCTTTTCAAGTGTTCAGGAGAACATCTGAAAAATCTGCCCAGTAAACAGCCTGCTTTGTTCTTGCTCAGATTTTAATATTTATCTTCCGATCCAAAGCAACATCTGGTGAATGCCAATGGGGAAAGAGATTAGACATTATGAAAAACAGAAGGCTCTTTTCCCCTTTCCTTTTTCTTTTCTTTCCAAACAGATTCACAAGTATGACAAAAAGTCATAGAGAAATCCAGCAGATTGCACAGTATTTACTCAAAAGCAGGGAGGATGCACAGGCAGGATGATTGTAGATCTAGGATTTCGAAGCCATAGCTTATCAGGATTTTTTGAACTTAAGAAACAAATAAAAAAAACTACAACTTTCCAGGTAAACCCCCTTTCTTAAAGAAATTTAATAAAACAGGTGTGACCATGTTGGTAACTCTGTATGGCCTTAATTTCCACAAGCAGTTTCTTTCCTGTGTGGTGGGACTTTCCATTGCTGAACATGGCCCTGTATCCTTCCTAACTTCTTATCTGGATGGAGTGGTTACATCTGATAGTGTATGAAGGCCTATTTTCCCATTTAAAAAAGAAAACTATACAAGATCAGTTACCCAGCATGAAAGAGGTAACTGGTTCTTTTCATGGCCATCCTACCATTCCATGTCTTGAGACTGTGATTTAGCATGAATTTGCCACCGGAGGTTTGTGTTTAGTCAAGGAATTGGCTGGTTGCTTTTTAGAAGAGCTTGAAGAACTCTGTTTAGGTCACATAGGAAATGGGGTCCTAGAGGTTATACTCAGGTGAGACTGGATTTCAGAACTCACTGCTGCTGGACACCAAGATGTACATGTCACTGCCCCTGGCTCCATAGAATTGGCGGACTTGATCTAGATCCCCAGAGCTATTCCTTTGGAGTTATTCTATGTTCTCCCTCCTCACGCTAGGAGGTGGCTGAGGCTACTGACCTTCAGACCCCATTAAAATTTATGCCCTTATTGATATCATTTTGAAAGTGCTACTCAATGTTCTTGATATCACAGCAGGCAAAAGTGGGTGTGTTTTCTTGAGTAAGAATGAAAATAAGTGTTGCGAGTTAAACAAAGTGTATACTTAGTGTTGAGGGTGAGGGGAACCAGCACTTCTCTTTGCTGCCATGAGAAGGAAAGTTAGAACAATCTACAGAGATCACTTGGACAGTATGCACCAATAACCTTAAAATTCTTTGTATTTGGAGACTCAGCAATTTCACTACTGGGATTTTATTTTAAGAAAGCAGTTTGAAGTCTGTAATATTTATGAAAACATGTTCTTTGAAGTTTTAAGTATCATAAAAATTTGAAATGAAATAAGTGTTCAATAATAAAGAATGCATTCAAATGATAATATCCTAAGAAACCTTTGAAAATCATGTTGTAGAGTATTTAACCAAAGAGGGACATGCTTACAATATATTGGAAAGTGAAAGGCACAAGTCACAAAATAGTGTACTATCTATTCCTAATGGTGTATATAATGCATATATTTATATATGCATGTGATAGGTTGCCGGGGCTGACCGGCAGACTTTGAATGACTGATAAATGATTACTTTACTTTGACACATGTTTCTGTAAAAGAGAAGCTAAGGGACTAGTTGGCATTAGGAGCCAAAAAAGCCTTGATTACCTGCCTTATTAGCCTTTTATTGTCATAATAGTTTGAACTAAAATTAACTATTAGATACAATTAGCAGGGTAAGTATTCTTGAGAAAGCATATGTGTCTGTCCTGTCCTTTAAGCAAGGCCATGTCTAAGTAAACTCCCAGGGGCTCAGACTTGTTTGGAAAAGTCAAGGTAGGGACTGCCACCTTCGGCAAGTTCCCCTCAGAGGCCCCCACCTTTCGTAGAATCCTTCTTACAGACATTCCAACCAAGTCCCGTGCTTCCCTATATTAGGTGATTAGAAAAAAGACTGGAAGGATATATTCTACAACATTGAGAGTGCCTATTCTTGGGTGGCTGTAGCGCTGGTCATATTTATTTTAGTCATTGAGTTTTTATGTATTTTTTTCAGGGAACATGTACTAATTTAAAAACCAGAAAACATACTCTAAATTATACAAGGGGCATTAAGAAAGTCATGTTCCAAATAGCTTACCTTGGTTTCTCTTAAGATTATGCCTGTGAAGCCAGAGAACTACTTTCTAGGATCTTAGCAGGGGACCCATTTCCATGAAATGCTTTATCCCCCTGCCAGTCACTACCACTATGGATTTGATGTCAATTGACAAAGGTAGACATGCATATCTGTGGTGAAAATATGCCTAGTTTATCCGTCTGTCTATCCGTCCATCCATCCATCCATCCATCCATCCATCCATCCATCCAATCACCCACCCACTTACCAAGTTCCCACTATATTTTAGGTACTGTGTCAGGAGCTGGTCACTCCATGGTGAATAAGGCTTCAAAGTCCCTGCCCTTAAGGGTAGAAGAGAAAGCCAGACAATAAACAATACGATCCCATCTTGTGATAAGGAGTATAAAGTGATGGAAAATGATGGGAGCTACTTTATACGATGTGCTCAGAGGATGCTTCTCTGAAGAAGTGCCTTAAGTGCTGGACTAAGGAGAAGAAGGTGTCATTATGGAGAGTCAGGCAGTGGTGGTAGCAAATGCAAAGGACCCGTCACGTTTTGTAAACTGTCAGAGGACAAACGGCAGTAGAGTGGGGAGGAAGGAAAGTGGCTCTACATGAGCTCAGGGAGATCTGTGAGGCCTTGAACGCCATAAAAGGAACTTAGATTCTATTCTAAGAACAGATTAAGTTAATTAAGTATCTTTCCAAAGTCATGGAGACAAGCCTCGGCAGTGCCAGGACCGGAACCCAAGGCTTCTGACTCACAGTGTGCTTAGCACAAGGCCCTGCTGTTAGCAGTAGCTATGGAAGTCTTGGCTGGACTGCGTGGGTTCAATGAGATTTCAGAGCCATAGGAAGCAATTTCAGGCTAAGTGAGGAAGATAGAATGATGCAAGTGCTTTTTATTGCCTATCTTAAAGAGCGCATACAGGGAGATAACGGGGTTACTTTTGGATCTGATCGGACCAACTGAAAGAGCAATAGGTTAGTGGTCAGAAAACTTAGAACTTTCTGTGCTCTCATTTGGACCAAAAATTTTTATCATGTTCCCTCACAATAAATATATGTGTATGTGTGCATGCACATCTATATAATCTATATCCATGTATCTCTATCTATACACATGTTTATACTTATATTTAAATCTCGCCAACTGCACTACTTAATTCATAGGATTATTATGACAAAACATGGAATAGTAGCTATTAAGACACTTAGAAATTTTGTAGATGTTAGACTATTTTTAATATCCTGGAGTTTCTGCTAATTTTGATGATGGCTTTTTAATGAAAAAAATCTCTAGTGAGATAATTAGGAGCAAATACAAAAAGAAATATGAGCTAAAGCTTGTAAAAAGAAGTCTAAGCTAACAGAAAAGAGTTTTAACTTTTTTGGAGCAAGAAGAACCTGATTAGGGAAGACAGTGCGTTGCTACAGGCAAATGAAAGGAGGGAGAAGTAACTGACAAAGAGCCTAGAAAGGCAGAGAAAGCTTATTGGGAGGGTGGAAGCCAAAGACTAAGAAAGTTGTGAGGGAAGTTGGTCACTGCTTTCCTTGAGTTCGTGTCGGTATCCCAGATCATCCCTATACTGAGAACAAAGACCTATGTCATATGATTGGTAATCAATGTGACCAGAGGGCACACAACAGAAAGAGGTGATGGGCAAATATTCTTTTATTTGATTAAAAAGGGAAAAAGGGGAGTTCTGGATGGTTAGACAACTAAGCTTGATTATCCCTGACGAATTTCTAGAATGAATTATTCATCAGATGGTTTGTGAGCCTTCAGAAAGGGAAGTAGCTATCTGGGAATCAACTCACAAGGAATGTGATGGTGTGGTGGACCAACTTCATTTCCTTCTCAAACTGTTCCAAATACCCTCTCTACCCCCAGTAGCAAAGGAAAGGTTCTAGCCATAAAGCCCAAGGACACAAGCAGCCAGTTGGTTTGAAGTTATATGTTTTATTTGAACAGTCCAAGTGAATTTTGCATTCTATTCCATCCTATTTCCATATTCATCCAAATATTACATTACATTTTAATTTAAAAGTTAAATTACCATTTTTTTCGTTCTGATTCTTTGAGTACAACTGACACTCCAGGAGCAAATGCTGTATTTATCCCATGGTTCTGTCTAACCCTGGATGATGACTCAGCTAAATGTATTTGTAGCTACATTATATGCTCCAGATTCAAAACATATTTGAGCAATGGCTCCACATAATGGAGATGACATGTACCAATAATGAATGTAAATTCACACATTTATACTTTAACAAAAATACTACCAGCACAATTACCAGTATAGCGTGAGTGGCCTTATCTGACATTTAATGTGTGCCAGATTCTGTGCAAGTCATATTGTAGGCGTCATTTTGCTCCATTCCCTCAACACTTTTATAAAATAGGCACATAGTAATTAGGATCTCTCTTTTACAAACCAAAGCTTAGAGGGTCATGTATTCACAGTGTCCTATAGATAGTAACTATATGCTTGGGGATTCAAATCTAGCTGGTCTGCTCCCAAGCTTAGCCTCTGCATGCAGATGCTTTTCAGAAAATCAGGTGAACAAGTACAGCATGGTACATCCTCAGGCAGTTGCCACTCTGAGACTGAGTTTACCACCATCTTAATTTAGGCATGGGGCTACCAAATCAACAGGGAGGGCTCAGATAAAGGGAGCCCACAGCCTCAGTGGTCAGCCCAAACCATGTGCATTCAGTCCCCATGATGTTAACATACTGACAATCTACGGTAGGTTAGAGGAGAGTGGGCATGGAAATCATGTCTTGGGGGCGATAGGGAGCTGGGAATGTTTTAGCAGAAAGAAAAGATTAAGTAGACATGGTAGTTATCCTGCTCATTTTTTTTAGCAAATTGTGGGAGCAACCGTTTTGACATTGATTTGAAAAAAGATGCTCTAGTCTGACATGATTTAGTTTCTCAAGCATTGACCTCTTGCCCTTTCTACTGCTCTTCCTGGTCTTCCCATGCGATCTGTCATCTTCATGGCTGACGTTCAATCAGCATCTCAGAACCTTAGAATACTGCTCTAGGAGACAGGACACACAGGTTCTAATCTCAGAGCTGCCATACTTTTATGATTGGCTTTATGCAAATCCCCTGATCATTTAGGGTTATATTTTTTATACTTCTACTTACTTTACTGGCTGAAATGAGATCATACATGTGAAATTGTTGAAAAGTTTAAAATATCACGCATTAATAATCTTTGAGTTAGTTGTAACAACGCCTAAAGCCAGGATTATTGTTGAATAAATATCACACCTGTTGGGGACAATGCCCTGCAATATCCATGCGATCATCTCCCTTAGAGTGCATATTTTTAGACTTTCTGCAATGCTGTTTTTCATTTTAAATGCAGTCTGGTTTCTCTCCTTAAAGCAAGAGGACTTTTAAAGCAAGTGGCTGGTAGTATAACTGGCACATATATCGAATCTCCTTAGTCTGGGCTGTTAAGTAAGTTTAATTAATTTACTAAGTTAATGTTCCACTGCTAGCAACAGAGCCTCATTGCCATCAGCTGGGGAGAGGGAATTGAAAGCCTAAATGAGCTCATTTTTTCACAGTTGGAATTAGGGACCAGTTAGCCAGTTGTGTGGGTTTTCCAATTTCTCCATCTGCCCTGGGGGGATTCAGGCAATTCACTCCCCCAACACTAAGTGTGAGTAAGAACAGGAAGAGGGAAGGGGAAAAGAAAAAAACCAAAACACACCTCCCTAACATTTGCTTCCATTTTTGGAACTGGAAGCATTGTTTGCACATTGCTTGTTAAGTTGGGCTTGGAGAAGCTTTTGCTAATGTTCCTGATAGGTTTGGAAAAAGAGAAAGGCTGAAAGATATTTACCACGTGCATTTTCATTGCAGGGTGTGCAGATAAAGGGAAAACAAATAAACAATAAAATAATGGAAACAAAATTACAGAAATTTGCAAAATTTGACAAATGGCGGCCTGTAGTTGCCACAAGCTAATGGCTCGCAATGATTAATAAGAGTAAAAATAATTGCATTTCATTAAGATTGATGACACCCCATTTAACCTCCCCTCTCGTTTCAGCCCTAAAGTGGAAAGAGATGAAGTTCTCATCTATAATAGCTCCTGTAACATTACCATGGAAACTGAGGCAAAGATGGAGTGTGAGACGCCTAATCAGCCAATTACCGCCAAGATTACTGAGATACGGAAAAGCCGGGGCCAGAACACTCAGGTATAATCAAATCTTTTTTACAGACTGATTCAAACAGCTCAAATTTAATTTGTAATATTGTGTACATTAAAAAAACAATTTAGTCCAAATGGCAGCAATATATAATATTAAATGCTCTCAAACTTTGAGGAGCTGCTCTAATGCACAACATCTGAATTCATAGTTAACTATAGTTAATCATATATTTTCTCAAAAATAAATGAATGCTGCCTGGGTTCTCTTAAAACAAATTCTGAACAGATAATCTCAGCATTTTGTCCTGCTTTCTGGGTGCATGCTTAAAAAGGGCTTTCTGTGACTTATTTCTTCGTGAAATAAATGGCCTACAATTTAACCAAGTGCTTCTGGAAGATTTCCATCATTCAGCCATCCCCCCTGTCTGCTGGTCCATCCAGTTCATATCTGTTCTGTGGAGAATAGAGTGGAAACTTCAGCTTCTGAGGAAATTACATGCAAATTAAAACCGAAAAGTTCTGCCAGGTCATTTCATCTGTCTTCTCTACCTCAGTTTATCCTTTTTGAAATCATCTAAACCACCCCCCTCAAGTGGCTCTCCAAGATACCATCTTAAAAGTCCCCAGTGAGACAGTCCAGAGTTTCCCCAGGGATTTTTGTGAATTGAAATCAGACTAAGGGCTCTTTGGAAATACATCAGATTATCTTTCACAGCTCCCCAGGCTTCTCACGGCACACCTATAAAATATAATATTTTTTGAGCACCTACTCCCTTAGGTGCCTTCCTCTTTATGAAAGCAATTCCCACATTTTTCTCTTTTTTGTCTCTTTTATTGGGAACAAACATTTATTGAATGCCTATTATGTGCCACACAGGATAGCAGGTTCTCTTGTGAAAGCTGCTTCAGTTCAATCTTCTAAATTCTAAGCTATGCTTCTTGAGTTTGTAAGGCATGTTTTTTCTATAGCTTTTGGACTGATGCTGAAAATGTATGCAATTACAAGTAATTTTTCTGTCTTTTCTAAACTGTTTCCTGTCTGTCTTCCCTTCCCTCTGGATTCTCCCTTCCCATTTTATCACCTCCCCGGGCTTCTCCTACCCCTTGCCTTCCCTTCCCTTCCCTTCCCTTCCCTGTTGCACAGGGCTGTCACTACTTCCTTGTGTCCCCCAACCCAATACACCTCTTCCTTTTAATTCATTGCCGATTTTAATTCTTCATCTCCAGCACGATAGTGCCCTAATTGCAGTCTCCACTTCACCCTGTGCCCCTGTTCGTCAGGTGACTGTCAGGGGTGGCTGGAAGGTTTGTTGGAGTGAGGGGGCTGCTGAATCGGTGCTGTGTTGTGTGTGGAAAGACAGTTGTGGGCTCAAGACGAGCTGTGGGACACTGAGCAATCTTTAGACCTTGTGGGGTCTCAGTTTCCACCTGGTTCATGACCTGGGGTTGTTGGGATGCCCACGTGAGCAAACGCCTGTGAAAGGGAGGAAGAGGGGGTTGCACAGTGGTGAAGTGTGGGCTTTGGAGCGAGACTGCTGGGTTTGAATGTATCACTTATCTGAGTAACTGTAGGTAAGTTACGGAACCCTCTGTGCTTCAGTCTTCTCATCTGTAAAGTGGGGTAAGAATAGCACACCCTTAATAGGCTTGGTGTGAGGATTCTAACACAAGAGCCCTTGTCACTGAGAATTACACCAAACACCATTTAAATGTCTGTTAGCCATTATTGACTGTGCTAGTTTGCTAGAAGCAGTTCTAGAAAATGATGCAGAATTATTTTTCTGTAGTGTTTGCCGTTTTGACCTGATCACTTCATGTGTCAGATTTTATCTAATTTTTCATTGTCTCAAAGGCTAATTTTGAATTTTTGAGGCCTAAATGCCTCAGTCATCTTTAAATATTTATTCAGTATGCATTTATTGAGTTCTAACCATGTTCAAGGTCCTCTGCCATACTCTGAAGGAGGCAAAAGTAACGTGGTTACTTTCAACAATAAAGATAATTTAAAACAAAACAAAACAAAACAAATGACATGGAAAGAGACCCCACCTTCAGGGGATAGTAGAGAAGAGAGGCCATGTATGCAAGTAGGTAACTTTCAAAGGACACATAGTGTCGATTCATCACAGCTGGATGAAATGTTGGATGCCATCTGGACCAGTCCATTCATTGGTGAGAAGAGTTAACTGAGCTTCATAAAGAAAGATGACCTGAAAAAGGTCACAGCTAATAGTTTTGCATCATAACACATGTGGTCTTAAGCATTGTGGGGGAAGTAAGCCATTTACTCTTTAGAAGCTAGGAGGGGGGGCATGTCTGACAAAACCTCCTAGGCTAGTGCCAGTGTCTAGGAGTCCGGTCCTGGGATGTCTTGTGACCCTATAGATCAGTGATGGCGAACCTTTTGAGCTCGGTGTGTCAGCATTTTGAAAAACCCTAACTTAACTCTGGTGCCGTGTCACATATAGAAATTTTTTAATATTTGCAACCATAGTAAAACAAAGATTTATATTTTTGATATTTATTTTATATATTTAAATGCCATTTAACAAAGAAAAATCAACCAAAAAAATGAGTTCGTGTGTCACCTCTGACACGCGTGTCATAGGTTTGCCATCACTGCTATAGATCTCAGGGTGTCTGCTTTTCCTGTTTCGGCCTGCGGACATGTCACCTGTGTTAGTATGCATAGTTCCTAATCTGGGCCTGGGCCTGGGGAAAACCAGCATTGAAAGCTGCCTAATCGAAACTAGAAGTGAGGTCTCTAGTTCCAAGTATTATGTGAGAACCTTGAAACAGCAGTTTCACAGAATGTTAGTAAGTATTCTGTGATAAAAGGGTTCCAAAGTCAAGTACATCTATGAAAGCTGGGTTAAACAGAGTTATATATAATTTCACCAAAGGGCCTGTGAGAACATTCAATAGGTGACTGCATAATGTGAATTTCAGAGGTGGGAAAGGTCATCTTCAGAGAGGGCAGTCAACGGAATTCTACCGAAGCAGGTGGTTGTATCATGCTACAAAGAATGAGCAGGGTACAGACATTCCAGGGCTGTAGAGGAAAGAGATTTCTGGTGGAGGAACTGGTAGGCACAAGAAACCAACACAAGAGTCCATAGGGAGAGTGCAAAGAACATGGTGTGTGTGAAGGGTCGTGTGAGTTGCAGGCTTGGGAAGGTAGGCTGGGATTGGATTGCGATTGCAGGTTAAGTGTTTAGTTCTTTAATTCATTGGGTGACAAGTCATCCTTGAGGAGTCACTGCATGATCGAAGTGCCTTGAGACACATTGATCTGGTGCCTGGGTGGAGATGCCTTGGGAAACCCAAGAAAGGCAGGAGCATCTCAACCAGGCAAGATATAATTGAACTAGGGAGGTGGCAGAGGGAATGGAGAGGAGGGGACACACACAATAGTAGACACTTGACAACTTGTGTTCGACAAAGTGTTCAAAGATATGGGAAATTAGATGTGATAGGTAAGAAAATTATATGCTGACTTTTCAAATTTGCGGAAAAAAAAAATCTTCATGCTCATGACTCCCAAATTATAATTTCCAGGCCAGACCTCTCCTGAACTTTAGATTCCTGAACCTCGTAGCCTGCTGATATCTTCACTTCGATGTCGAAATTACATCTTTGATCTAACAGGTTCTAAATTGAACTCCTGATTTCCACTGCTTCTCCTCCCACCCCCACCACAGTTCAACAGAGTTGAAGGCAACTTTTGCCCACCCCGTGCATCCTCATGACTATTTTGCAATTGCCATTTGTACTTTTTAACCCCTCCCCGCTTTTCACCCAGTCCCTTAGCCCCCTTCTATCTGGCAACCATCAATTTATCCTCTGTATGAGTTCCCAACAATGTGAAGGTGTCAGTTTTTCCAGTTGAGACGGCAAATCTACATTAATATTGGGAGTCAATGCAGTTAAAAACAAACAAACCACCCAACAGGCATTTTTATTTGTTTGCTTGTTTTTGGTAAAAAATTCCAGGCTGATTAAAAAAAACAACATGGATTTGCCTCAAATAGCCAAAATTACCAGGTAAAGGAATGAATTTTGAGGACTGATGTCAAAGTTTATTATAAAGCTCTGGAATCAATAGGAGTTCTAGTCAAGATCTTGTTTGAAAGAGGGTTCTATTGCTAACATTTGTTTGAAAACCTGGTGCAGTATCCTGGAACCCGGGGGAGGAGAGAGATGGAAGGAAGGTGAGGTAAGGCACAGCAAAGGGCTGCGAGCAGGAAGTTCTTACTGATACTTAGGCTGCAGGACAGCATTAGGAGGAGAAAAACCAAATGTTTTGGGGTTACGGAGTAAGTGAGTGGCAAATCAGTGCAGGCATCTGGTATAGATCACGGTAGGAAGAGAAAGAAAGGATGCAGTAAGTATCGTGGTGGGCAGCCCTCCTAATATTCATGCTCACTGTCATTAGTGCTAGGGACGGTTTCTTAACTTAAAGGTGCTTTGATTAAAGCTGTGGTTTGCAAGCGTGTTACTGGATTTGAGAAGAGGGAGACTCCATAGTTCTCTCACCCCATTCATTTGTCTGTGATTATGAAACTTCTTTTGGACAAGTCTGGTTAAATCGGCACCATTTATTTTAGAAATATTTACATTTTTAAACTCACTTTTTCTCTCCAGTGCTTGAATTACTGTTAAAAAGAGCAAGACCACACTGCTTAATTTAATCCTTGCTTGTTGTTTAAGGAGATTCTCCTAGAAAATTGGTGCAATGCAGCTCTGGAAAGAATTTTACATTGTCTTTATAATGTGTATAGCTATTTAGAGGCTAATTTGAAACTACTTTCCATTCTCTAATTGATTTTGTTCCTCTGATTACTGAAATCTAAAAACACTTTTTCACTTTCCTCTCCCTTCCTTTCCTTCCTTTTAGTTTTTCTTTCCTCCTGTTTTCCCCTCACCTCCCTTCTCCTCCCCTCCCCTCCCCTCTCCTTCCCTTCCTTCCCCTCCCCTGCCCTCCTCTCCCCTCCCCCTTCCCTTTTCCCTTCCCCTTCCTTGCTCTGTCCTCCTCTCTTTTTCCCT